ACTTTATTATTTTCATATACTCATTTTTTTAAGGGGGGAAAATCATCGAATGACTTCTCCCGCCTGAGTGAGGCGGGAGGGAGTGTCAGAGTCTTACTGACTAAAAACCACCCCGTTCCTACTCCTGCACTTCGAGCCGGAGCCCCGGTAACCCGTTAAGTTCGTCCGTTAAGTAAGGAGAAGTCACTTGATGATTTTCCCCCCTTAAAAAAACCAGGTATTCTAGAGTTCTAATTTCTAAGTCAGTTTTCTATCTCTTCTATTTGTCAATTAGACGGGAATACCCCTAAAATAAATAATAATCTAACTTAAGTATCCATAACACTTGATTTTGATGAAAGCAGTTCAAACTCGAATGGTTGAGATAACGCTCGATTGCCGTATCTTGGGTGTTAACAACACTTCTTTAGTGATAATGTGACATTACGTACGTGATTCAAAATAACTACGTTGTCATCCTATCTGCAGCTGATTGTCATTTCTAATTATAAATAACTTATTTAACTTAATACATTGTAGGAGAATGCTTCAGTCTACCTACACAAAAAAAAATTGTGGATTTGGTTTCTGTTCTTTGGTTGGACGTCTCTATAAAAGTGCACTTTCCTTTCTTTTACATAGCTAGTTACATACATAGTTTTTAAGTATCTAAATAATAGCATTTATATAAGATTAACAGTATAACTTAATGGTGTAAGCTGTGGTGTTATATGTACATTTTCAAATAACAAAATAAATAAATAGCTCTTGTTACAGATTTTGTTATTTTTGTTTGATATAGCCATTTTCATCTGCATTTTAATGGTCTATTTTAAAGGCTGCTGGGAATGAATACAGCAGGTTATAAGGATATGAAGTATTTCATATAATGTGGTGTATGGTAATTTCAGTCTCATCCTGTCAAGATTTATTTCTATTGTCAATTTATTTAGTCACCCAGTGAATAAAAAAAACTTTGACTGCTATAATTGGCTCTATACTTTACTCAATAGTATCTATTTAAGTTCAGGACGAAAACTTATTAACTGTGAACATAAATTGATTGCATATCGATGATATAAAAATTAACTATCTTGTACTAATATTATAAATGGAAAGTTTGTGAGTACGTATGTGTTGTTTGTTAGTCTTTTACGTAATAACGTCTGAAGGGATCGGGATGAAATTTGGAATAGGTCTGGAATAACACATAGGTTACTTTTATCCCACGAGAAGGCAGGTGAAGCTGTTAGCAAAAGCTAGTTATAGCAAAAATCAAATCTTCTTCCGAAAAACTATTTCAATTAAAGATACTCAGACGTTGTTAAAACAACACTTAGCAATTTTTTTATCTGTAGTAAATTGAGCAATTTATCGCTATGCCACAATCTGTAGGCGCTTCTAACACAATATTTGTTCATGTATGTTTGTAAACGTACAATGTCGGTGAGGGAATTTCTTAGTACTTTCATTGACCTTGACATCTTGGTAATTGAGTTTACAGACAATACAAATATTCGTTATAAGGTACATGCGTCATCAGTCGGTGGAAACAGGGCATCCGCTCCAGATGTAACCCTGAGGCTGTCCGCCGCACATTAGGCATGAGGATCCGACTCGAAAAGAAGATAATAGAGATTCCCTTGTATTTGAATCAATAGACTCGCCCTCTATGGCATAACGTAAGCGTATAGGACTGAGTAGGGAATAAGGTACCTCACTGATGAGACCAAAAACTGTCGAAAAGGAAATCTTACATAATATGCGTCTACAACTACCAAGTACCAGTTCCAGGAAAAACAATTGGTAACGAAAATCTCAAATCTCTTCTAATTAAAAACAACTCGATTCTATCACTTCTAATTTGCTTCATATCATGTTCATACCCAAAAAACATACCGTGATACCCGTCCACCAAACAACAGCTGATATCTTTGGTCCAGGCTACAAGAGGTCAACTCTCTGACTATATTTCATTCATTATCTGAGGTCAATTTATCTGGCGTGCATCGTCACTGTCAATGGAACCAGTTTAAACCAGATTTCTACAAGTCGTATGATAGCCGGCCATATCTATTTTAATATAATTTGCAAGGTTTTTTAATACTGCTCTAGTGCATTTTTGGACATCAATTTAACAATTAATAGAAAAGCATCTATAGACGTACAGAGTGATTATTAGATATTTTCGTACGTCCTATTCCGAGTTACGTAACGACTTTTTTGTTTATGGTGTAGGATATGATAAATGGGATGGAAATTAAGAGTTTGTCTATTTAGGTAAAAAACTTAAATTAAAAACTAACTATTACTTAAAAAAAATTAAAACTAAATATTACTAAATTAAATACCTATATACAACTAAAGATTAAAATTAATTAAGTATAAGAAAAAACAAAAACAACTATTTACATAAAGCGTCGAAAAATTCGTCCGCATCGACGTCAGTGGGGAAAGTACCCAGAAGGCTGGCAGCATTGCCACGTTGTATGGCAATGCTTAACCTCTGACCGAGAAAAAGACCAGCCCTCTGGTCACGAGATGTGTCAACCAGGCGTTTTGAAATGTTTTGGAATAATTTAAGTGCACTATTTAGGTGAGTTTAATAATGATATTAAAAAATGGATAAACAGAGTCTATATACTTGTCTAATATCATGTTCGCTTTCTCCAAAAACAGCAAGCTAGGTATTTGGTAAGTAGGTATACTTATATGTAGACTATTAGACTAGGAACACCATAGACAGAATATGTCATTTTTGGTTAGGTATTTTATGTTGAAGGCAGGTATCAGACGAACAGGAACCAGGTGTCTATTTTCTCACAAAATTCTAGGCAGAATGCTTTATCTTTAAGTACCTATGGGAGAGCCATGCTTCAGCACGAATGGGCCGGTTCGACCGGAGTGATACCACGGCCTCACAGAAAACCGACGTGAAGCACCGCTTGCGTTGTGTTTCGTCGTGTGAGTGAGGTTACCGGAGACCCAATTACCCTCCCCTTCCCCAATCCCTGAATCCCCAACGATCCTCAAACTCCTAATCCCCAAAAAGCCAGTAACGCACTTGTAACGCCTCTGGTGTTCCAGGTGTCCATGGGCGACGCCGATTGCTTACCATCAGCTGATCCGTCTGATCGTTTACCGGCTTATGCCATAAAAAAAAGAAAAAAAATATTTTTGTAGGGTCTATAACTTTAACTGTTGTGCCAAACTAAATTATCTGTTTCCATTTTACTTAACTTTTATATCCTCTATGCAGATTTCCGTCAACCACTGTTTAGTTTCATCATTTCGTCATCATGATAGAGTTCAAAGGCGATTGATTGATTAGCAGGCATTCCCAGTATGAGATTCACTCGGTGCTACACACCTACTTACTACTTATACGTATCTATGAGCTAATACGGAAATAATTAAATTAGGGACCTGTTAATTTTAAATTAATTACCACAAGACAAAATATTTATAAAATGTTATAATATTTAAATTTAGAAGAAAACCAAAATGTATCCAAATCCAGACTCAATCTGCCATCTGGGTAGTCGGTTATCTTAATACCTAATTTACCTACTTCTCGAGTGTATATAAAATCAATACCTATCATTCATAAGTCGTCACTAAGCCACATCGCTAATAATTAGCAAAATAAATTTATTCAACCTATTTACGATAATTGTTTTCATAACACAACCGCTAGTTAACCGCTTTTATTACTGAAAACTGCTTTTAACTGGTTCGGCTTATTATCTTTAGCAGTTTTAGGTAACTAATGTGTTTACCAAGTTGTTATCTAAAGTTATTCACTGAGCGGAATAATACAATGGGCCTGCCTACTTTTACACGATTTTACAGCATGTTAGGGGTCTAACTAAAAACCCTATGATCTAAATAATTTATGGTTTACGTGCAAGATGTAAAAAATTCCGATATTCTTTATGGTTTTTGATTTCCGGCCACCTTTACATTTGCTTTTTGCTTGCAATGAAATCGGTTATGCAATTTAGTTATAAAATAAAATTACACCATTGGCCGTAAACTGCGTGGCTCTATCATTACTAGGGCGCACCTGATTTCCCGGCCACAGACGTATGTATAAAGGGTCGATTTCAAAATACATATGTACTTTACAGTTGGCACAGATGGGGTGAAGCCCGTGAGAAACGGGTACGTCGTTAGTATGATCTTGTTTAATACAAACCATGAACTGATTAGTCCATGATACTAAGCTCTAGAATCACACCTACAGTCTAGTTGATTATATGCCCGTCTGTTAACTTAAGTATGAGTACCTCACTTAAAAAATGCACAACCGATACATTTTTGCAATCTTTCAAAAAGCAAGAATACAGTTCTAATCCTAGAAATTATTTTTTATTATTATAAATGAAACTTCCACAAACTAAATACAAATGTAAAATAAAAAACTTACCGAAAAATTACTTCCAATAAGAAAATTAGTTTCTGGATTGCTTTTCTGTAGATTAACCACAAAATAAGTATAAAATTAAATACGTTTTTGTTTCACTACACTCTGCCTAGCACTTTCGTCGTTTTAAGTCCGTTTTTTTTTTGGTTATGATTATGATCTCAAAATCATAATAATATTGTTATTGACAGACAAGACATAATTATTTTTCTCATTCTAACTTTCAGAAAGCTGCAAACGAAAAAAAAAACACTGAAAACTAATAAATGTCAATGTCAGATGATTGTCATAACAAAAAAACTTCAAAAATGTTTGTTTTGGCGGCAAAAACGTCGGAAATTCGTCATAATCAGTGTCCAACACACCTCTTTCTTTTGGAAATGAATAGAGTTAATTCACTCAACAAAGCTTTATCATTCGTAAACTTATGATAGTGATGTCAAGGCTAAGCCGTCTGCGAAGAAGCTAAATACGAGCGGTCTGTTGTTTTCACGTTAGTACAACCGCGCGCCACTCGGCGACTAGTGGAGCTAAGTTGAATTAATTTCTGAAATATTTTTCACAAATCAACTAGATACTAAAATAAATTCCAAAAATGCCACCTGTTTCATTGACTAACGATGTAAGTACAATTCAATTAGAAAGATATTTTTGTGACTTCGAAAGTGATTTCATTGACCATTTTCATATTTTAGTGCATAATCGTATTAATCGTTACATTTATCCTTATATTCTTTCCGGGAAGATTATTTCATAAAATACCATACGCTAAATATTAAGGCATACCTATACTGTAACAGTAAATTATTTAAAAAATCATCCCTAAGTATCTTAAAATAAAATAAGTTAATATTTGTGTTTATTTGCAGGCTCCTAAGAAGAAGCTACGGGTTGCCATAATCGGCCAGAGCTTGTTTGCTGCTGAAGTGTTCAAACTTCTGCAAAGGGACGGCCATGAGGTGGTCGGTGTTTTCACTGTGTTGGACAAAGGAAACCGAGAGGATCCCTTGGGTAAGTTTTTATTACCTGGTTATTTAATATTTAATTCAGATTTGTGATAAAATAAATCTTTATTTAAAATGTCTAAAATGCATCTGAAATCTTACATTTCATCAGTGTAATGTTTTTTAATTTATAATCTGTTTAAATTATTGAATCAATAGATTGAATCGATCGACCAATTTATTTTGTCTTCTTATTTTAAACACTTTTTTATTTTGAGTGCTTGAAATCAATTGTTTTATTTTTTACGAAATATATTTTTTATTCATTAAGCTTATTTATAAAAATCATTTATACCATAAATAAAAATATTCCAATTTCAAATAACAGTTCTTAATTCAAACTGCTTCTATTTCTAATTTTATTTTTCTACAGCAACCATCGCATCTCAGAATGGCAAACCAGTATACAAATACAAGACTTGGAGGGTGAAAGGCCAAGTGATACCCGAAGTATTGGAACAATACAAATCAGTGAGTGCTACATTTTATTACCAGTTGTAACCAGTTCGAAATTGATACAGATACATTATTAGATGTGAAATTAAATTGGTTTTGTCTCAGTGCATAGTAATTGTGACATAGTGGGATAGATGATTGAATTGATGAAAATTGTGGAGTAGTTGAAGAGATGTAAATTTATACTCTTTTTATACTGCTATAACAGAAACACTCGTATACATTGTCCTTTTAGATGGATTTGAGTTGCTAATAAGTAAAAAGAAAAAAAATTAATACTCTAGAAAAAAATGTATGCTCTATTTTTTTTGTTTCGGACTTAATTACTTCCATGAAGTGTGATATACATAGTGGTTTTCTGGAAACAACAATAGATTAAGATTTCCACAAAGGTGTCATATTGAAAAATCATTAGCACTAATTGGTCGACTTGATAAATAGCAAACCACAAGTTTAGTGATGTTCGAATAAAAATAACAAATTGCACAACATCGTACCTAGACTAACCATTTTGGAACATTAACCTTTGTAGTCTATACAAATAAAAACTTGCTTTTGCTTGCAAACCTCAATTAAAATCCAGTAATTTCTCATTCTAGTAACAAATTCGAGAATTATTCTCTCATACTCCTAAAACATGAACTGCGGAGGTTTTTTTCACATGTTGCCAGGGCTCTGGCTCAAAGGGCAGAAGTAGGAACTGGGTGGTTTGTAGTCAGTAAGAGTCTGACACTCCCTCCCGCCTCTCCCAGGCAGAGTCATAGAGATGATTTTCCGCCCTTAAAAAAAACTCCTGAAACATAAGCAAATATAAATTATAAGTGCACAATAGCTAGGTCCTAGTATTTTGCAGTAGTAATGTCACAACTTTTTACCGATTTTACTCACTTAATCGAAATTTTTAATAGACAATCATGTCCAGACAGCCATAGACCTACTCTTTTTGTATTTTAATCTCTACCCAAATACAAATAGATATCCAAATTCAAAATCCAATTGCACATTCGACGCATTAACATTTCTATACAGAGGAATTCGTCGCGTTTATATCATTAGCATATAATTAGCAAATATAATATGGTCTAGACTCTAGACTGTTATTTAAGCACTAGATGACATAACATTTTAGCACCTAAGTGTGTTTAATATTTTGATACCTGACATTGCATTCACCTTCAAAATTTTTCGGCGCAATTTTCAGTACATATGCACATACTAATGTAATTTAATGTAAGCACTTGTATAAATATGTATAGAACTATTCTTTACGAGTCGATTTCGACTCGTAGATTAAATCTAAAAGTCGATACCATACACTAAGTCTCAGGATCGAAATATTACCTATAAGAATCTGGATTTGTACCTGATCTTTGGTCGAAAACTTACCTTTATAATTACCATGGCACTGATTTTAGGTAGATATAATACCTATTTACCTCTGTCCTGTAATAATAGTGTTAGAAGTGCTGTTAAGTTAATTTGTTTCATAAGAAATGGCAATAAATCTCGTAATTGAGTACTATAATACTTTAATTTAAGTAGAAAATCCCTAATTGAATAATTCTAGCTCTCAAAACATCTACATCAGTATTTTCAAGAACTCTTAGCTTCAAGTGACTTTCCTTTTAATACTCAAATAATAAAGAGGATTGCATAATTACACAATGTGTGCACATGAATATATTATTAAAAATGATGTGATGCAGTGCCGGAATTTTATGAATTTGGAGCTCGAAAACAGTCTGGCTAGTCCGAAATGCGTCGAGCTCGAAAACACTCGTATTTGTTCCGAAAAATGCATTAATTTCTCCAAAAAATAAAGAAAATTAAATAAGCCATTGCCCTTTTGACGAAGTCTTTCATCTTTCATGTGTGTAGATAGATAGACTGTCAGTTTATAATAATGAATACTGTATCGTAACGCGGTTATGTCACAGCTCGGTATATCGATATTTGAGCCGCTATTCCTACTGCACTTTTGACCTCTTATATCTCTTAACTTGGCCGTGCTACATAGGCAGTATAGCTTAAAGTAAGTAGGTACATTTTCTGCTATAAAACTCAGGTTTTTACATTATTTATAAAATAAATATGTAATAGTACAAAATTACATCTAAAGTTCACTAGTTTTTCGTGAATATAGATTTACTTTTAGCAAACTTTTTATTTCACGTACGAATAAATAATAATTTAATTAGTTTATTTTAACTTAAAATTGTAGACAATCCAAACACAGCATAAGTACCTACGAATAAATAATAATTTAATAATGATTATAACTACTGTCCTAATAAATAAAAAATGGCCGAACTTTTCCATGTACTTATTAAAGCAGTGAACTAAGATAACTTCATTTATTTAGGCCGATCATACCACGATATCTCACATTTATAGGTACACACATATGTACAATAAGTACTTCCGCATATTGTTAAACTTTGAGGAATTCGTAAATCGCGAATAATAGCCGTTAAAATAAAAAGTACCTACAGTTTTCCGTTTGCCTCCTATATCCTTCTATTTGTAGTTGATAAAGAATCGGAATTTCCCATTCAGAACACACTTTTTTCGATGCCGGAAACAATCAAGTGACTTCTTAGTACATACGCTTAGGTTCTAGGCCGATAAGACTTACGTTAGACATAGGTATACCTACTCAGATGAAATTGAAAAATAGCATTTTTTAGTTTTCCGTTACCTACCACATAGCAGGGAACTCCCTTTTAAACTATGACTGTTTTCTATACAAATAAATACATAATAGTATATATAGTGTGTGTTAGTTACAGGGAGTCAAACTGTTCGATAACCTGACTATCGCATAATTACTTGAAATAAGTTTACACGGACGGGGCACGTGTTTACAAAACATGCTGATAAAGTATTCTGCCTTAAGATATTAATTAGAACAGCTGATCGCAATAAATACGATTCATTCCTTGTTTAGTAGTACGCAAATACATAATAATCAATTAAATGGAAACATTGATCAACATGTCAATATCGTAGAATGACATTGATGCGATAGTGACGTACCTCGTCTAATTTCGAGCTCGAAATCAGTCGGGCCTGCCCAAAAGTGGACGACTACCTTACGCCTTAAAGTAACTTACTCGTTGATATTCAATCAAATTCTTAAAAAGCCGGTAATTTCTTTGGTATTGCGGGTGTCCATGAGCAGCGGTTGCTTGCCTACAATCAGGTGACCCGTCTACTCGCTTGCCAATATGTATGATACAAAAATTTAAAATTAATATGGTTTACACAGTAAACCATTTTGCAAATAAAAAAAATATCTAATAGTCCTAATGTTATTGTTAACAGGTAAATGCAGACATCAACGTCCTGCCATTCTGCACACAGTTCATCCCTATGGAAGTGATCACATACCCTAAGTATGAGAGCATCTGCTACCATCCCAGTATACTACCCAGGCATAGAGGAGCTTCTTCTATCAACTGGTAAGTGGCTCTACTTCTAGTTTTTTAAAACTTGAATCAGTATGTTGGGAAAGTTGCTCTACTAAGTACATTTATATTTCATTGCAAATATACCCTCTTCAAGGGACAAGACTCTTCAAAGTTTAAAGAAATTGAAAATTTTCTTCTTAACATTTTCATTTAGATAAAACGTTATAATATGTTACCAGCCAGCATTCGACCTATTTTTTTTTTCGTTTACTGATGATACATTGACACTAGTCCCCTTTTAAGATAACTGCATTAATATAAGTCGCAGTACTATTAATTAAAGTTAAAATAAAATATTTAAAAAACATTGTGTACGGTACGTGTATCAAAACAAACAAGCGATAACTAATGTCACAAATCATGTTAAGTAATTATGTTATAACAAAATGTTTTATGGGCGTAAGAAAAAATTGTCTTGTAATGTTACCGATATAACTATGTATTTTATATCGAGTGATGAAACGGACCCTCTCTATGTCATCATACCTCGGGAACACGTTCTATCGGAACACCAAACGTGGTGCAATCTCTCGCAAGATCGATTACATGCATTGCAACAGAATGCACATTATAATCGATTTCCCACTTCACTATTTACTTGTCGATTCTATAATCGATTCGTTTTACTTAACTTGGGGCTTTAGACAATAGTTTCAAATGAAATTTGTAATTGATAAATGAATTCAACATATTCATTATTATCCAATCGACTTTAAGCATGCATGGTGATAAAATGCTCGTGCCTTCTCTTTGTGAGAAGAGGCCTTTGCTCAGCACTCAGCAGTGGGCACTTATAGGCTGTAGATGTATAATGTATTATTTAGTTATAATTATCGTCCCATTGATTTCCAAATTCCTAACGAGATATCCATAGGTGCCCAAATAAAAAGTAAACACATTTGGTATCATCATCAACAGCCGGAAGATGTCCACTGCTAGAAAAAGGCTTCCCTCGGACATTTGATATGCTACTTAGTAAAACATCGTGAGGACACCTGGACTTATAATTTCGAATTATATGTTTGAAATTGGCAAGCAAGCGTGGTGATTAATGCTCAAACAATCTCCGTGTGAGAAGAGGCTTTGCTCAGCAGTAGTAACCTATAGGCTGTTGATGTTATTGTACCAAATTGTATGCTTTTTAACGAAGCATAATCTGTCTCTATATTTAATAAATCTTTAGTTTACTTACTTGCATACTAAATAACTTAGCTTACGTACTTAGGAAGTCAATACTTTACATTCCCATGTAGAGTTAGCAATTTGCGTCGGCCTGAGGTTTCACTCGCTCATTTTCTGTAATGACATCGTTTTAATATAATCAAGTAATTTTGCTACCTATATCATTATGGGGTTTTTGCTACTTTGCCTCTCGTGTTAGAAAATTGCGTGCTTGGTAAATAAGCAAAAAGGTTGCATGATAGAACTTTATACTTATCATTGTATCTTAGGAAGAAAAAAAGTTTCCTGTCTATGGAGGTTCTGCCAGTTTTGGGACTAATACTAGTACGTAGCTAGTAGGACTTGAATGCACCAAAAGGCGACGATTAATTCATAAATGTCATGTGTTCAAAAATCTTAAAGCATTGAAATTTTGTGATTGTGCAGGGGATCTGTTCGTCCAGTCCTTTCCATCATCACATTACCAGACAAAGTGTATAGCATCATAATACCTATTTAGTGGACAATTACAGCATTAATATCACTTCGAGTCTCCTCATTTAAAATTGCTAAGGAGATCTCCATGCCAGAGTAGGAATATCAATCCAAAAAAGGGAAACCTAGACAGGTGTCTTCAAATGAAGACTGAATAGTATAACAAGCAGGCGCACCATAGTCGTCTCCACGTGTTCAACGTAATAGATTTAAGTGTTTCAAATCGACTACCACTTATGTAGCTCACGTATATAATACCTATATAAATACTAAGTCGGTATATGCATACAGTCTCACGGTCAAGTTCAAAAAATACGCCAATTCCATTTAGTCATGCTTGCGTGTGTAACCGGTATGAACCAGTATAAAGTGGATTGCATCCGTAATGTATGCTAATAATATGCCTAATAACTAGTTTCCGAGCTTGTGATTAGCTAATTTTGGGGTTATTATACCTAAAGTATATATTTACTAATAGAGTAGACATGGCACAGTACAAACAATACAGAAGGGTAGATAGATGGAGCATGGAGCCTGGAGCCTGGAACTTCAACTGGAAACTGTTGTTTATGATTTTCAATTTTTTTTATTTTATTTTTTATTTTATATTTATTTATGTAAAACCTTACCTAAACTATCATGACAGGTTTCTCCATTGCGATAGCTAGGCCTTAAACTTGACTGATTTGTTGCTAATATTTCTAATTAGAAAATATTTAAAAAACACTAAGACTGTCTAATCTATATTAGAAGATACGATAACTATTAAAAACGAGCTCATAGCTTCACTGACAGACAGATTGACAGACAAATTCTATTATATTATATCAAAAGTTGTGCAATTTGCGGAATAACGAAAATATTTCGACTTTGACTTTTTAAAACATTTTCTAATGATGTCGAAAGATATTCATTTTTGATCTTGCACACAGATTGACCAAACCGACCGAACCAGATAACCGGTATAAACCAGAATTTTCTAGAACATTTGAAATATTCTTTTAAAAAATGCACGTTTTTATCATACTGTTATGTTTGATTTGTGCACTGTTGATTTTGTACATTATATACTTTAGCAAACATAGTTCAGAAACATGATTAACTTATTTGCAAATGGCTTTAAAATACTATATGCGCATGTTTTTTTTGGAAATTTTACGTAACCGAGATAATTATGCATTTACGTATTCATTATACCAACATATTATTGTAGAAGTTGATAAACAAGATTTTCTTTTGTTGATTTTGAAAGTAGATAGAATTCGTTTATGAAGAAGTTGTTAATATTTTTTTTTAAGTGGGGAAAATCATCGATTGACTACTCCCGCCTGGGTGAGGCGGGAGGGAGTGAGAGAATAGAGAGAATTTCTTATTGTATTCTAATATTTATAACTTCTTATTAATAGATATTACATACGTATAGTACAGTTTCAGGTTCTACTCTCGGGATAATTATTGTATCTATTTCTAACTTTTTACTCAAAAATATAAAAGAAACGAAAAGTTGTACCTATGTTTTCGATAATTTTTGGAAATCCTGATAAAATAGGGCGTACTATTTTATCAGGATTTCCAAAAATAGGGCGTACTATTTTATCAGGATTTCCAAAAATTATCAACTAGTTTATCGTTCGTTCTATAGGAAACAACGATTCGCACATACTTTAGTTCACATTTAATTGATGGTAACCTAACCATTAAAGTTACAATTTAATTAAAGACATTTTACAGTGATTTTTACACATTTTTGTTCACTTAACGTAATTTATTTTGTTCCAGGACTCTAATAGAAGGTGACACGACTTGCGGTCTGTCCATATTCTGGGCTGACGATGGACTGGACACCGGCCCGATCCTGCTGCAGAAGAGCTTCCCCTGCACTATTGATGACACAGTCGATACTATCTACAACAAATATTTGTACCCTGAAGGTAAAACTACAAATATATACATGTATACTATTGAAATCTCTCTTTGATGAAGTAAATCATCGTTAGATAGGAGGTTATAAGTTCATTGCGAACCATAGGGTCTAGAGTTTGTTACTGGGTGGCGTAAATTTATTATAAAATTCTCAAGAATACCATGTAGCTGGAAATATATTCACATCGGCAATCGACCCCGTGACAAGTTACGCAGAAGCCCAGCTCTGAACCTACCCCTGAAAATAAGAAAAGAGATGATTTTATATTAAGTCAAATATTTAACTTTATTATAAATGTTATCAGGTATCAAAGCATTAGCGGAGGCTGTGAACATGGTGGCCAACGACACCGCGCCAAGGATCAAACAGACGGAAGAGGGCGCCACTTACGATCCCGCGCTATTCAAGCCAGAGACACACCAGGTACTTATCACTTTAGAATTTCACTGTAAATCAAATACTGTAAAAGTTGTTACATTAAAAATGCTTAATTATTCCAATTAATACTTAATTAGGCACTTTTGAAACATCACAAATTGAATGGTCCGTCTCTCTCTCTGTCAGTGAAGCTAGGAAGAAGTGCTATGTAAGTTATTATGCAAGACATCAAGAAGAATTGTGTTGGTGACTACACACAAGTTCTGTTATAATGACAGTTTGCATTCAGTTCAAAATAGTGAAATCCAAACTTCCACTAACAAATTTATCACTGTCAAGCCAAATGACTTCAATAAATTTATTTATTTATACTTAATTGCACACACAGAAAAAAATTGTAAACATTGCAATAGTAATTTGAGTACAATGGGCTGTCTTATCACACAGTGTAAATAGACATTACAAAAAAAAAATACTTTTACATTAAAAAGAGAAGAGTCTTTAAAACAAATAAAACATAATACCACACTTTCTTCTGCAGATCGACTGGTCTAAAGGCGGTTTGGCACTCCACAACTTCATCAGAGGTCTAGACTCCTCACCCGGTGCCACCAGCTTCATCAAACCACAGACTAAAGAAGGCGTCGTAGAGGACAGTGAGGCGACCATAGAGGTCAAATTCTTCGGCTCTTCTCTATGGGTCGACGAGTATGAGACGAAGGGAGATGCCCTTGTAATCCCCGGGCTTAGTAAAGCGGCAGTGGTACATGATGCTGGCCTGCTTATTACTGCTAATGATGGCGTGAAGGTATGTTTGATATTCATTAATACATAATGATAATAATTTAAAGATCGCCTGTTAGGATTCGTAATGTTTTTCGAAGGTCTTCATTAAGAAAACAGTCCAAATAAGCTTACAAGTCCTTAGCAAACCACGAATAATAGAATGAATTCTCGCAATCAATCAATTTTAACCTTTATTGAATTCTCAATAAAGTTTAAAATCCAACATCAAACACTTTCCACACTGTCCAAATACGCTTATAAATCTTTTGTAGATAAACGAACTGAATCAATTTTGAAGTCAATCAATTTATACCTTTATTCTTTTATAAATAAAGTTCAAAATCCAATATCAAACCTTCCATTCTCATTATAGCTAAACATCCAAAGACTGAAAGTGAACGGCAAAATGATAGCTGCACAGAACTTCTTCAAGGCCAACGAAGACAAAGTAACTCTAGAACTGACCGCAGAAGAGAAACAATTCGTTGAAAATGTCCGCGACGTTTGGAAGGCAATCCTGCGCATAGACATTGAAGACGACACCGACTTCTTTACATCAGGAGCCGGCTCTATGGACGTCGTCAGACTTGTAGAAGAAGTCAAAGATTTAGCCAAACTAGAACTGCAAAACGAAGACATCTATATGAACACGACCTTTGAAGAATTTTACACCATTGCTATATTGAAGTCTAGAGGTGGCACGGAAAATGCAGAGATAGAGTACGAAGGTGTTGAGATGGAGTGCAATAAGATGAAGATTAAGTTCCCTACTCAGTTGTTCATTGATGGTAAATTTGTGGACTCTGATAGTGGTAAGACTCTGACGCTGATTAATCCGACGGATGAGAGCGTTATTTGTAAAGTACAGAGCGCTTCGGCCAGTGATGTTGATAGAGCCGTGTTGGCAGCTAAGAAGGCGTTTGAAGAAGGAGAATGGTCCAAGATTAGTGCGAGGGAAAGAGGACAGTTGTTGTTCAAGTAAGTATTTTGTTTGTCTATTTGTTAGTAAGACAAGTAGTGGTAGAATTCACTGTTTCGTTTGTTGAGTACAGTAAGTTGTAAGCTCTTTTGCGCATTATACAGATGCCTATGTATTTTCTTGGTGATTTAATGTCAAAAGAGTCAAAGTTACACTGACTAACCAAGCTTCAGCTATTGAAATTGTCCTAAAACGTGGCCAACTTTAGCTAACACAATTAAATATTTAAACTAAAATATTTCAATTTTATACTACCTAATATAATTACTGGGTTTGTAAAAAAAATCTCTGTAGTAGCATGGAGTCTGGAATTGTGCCCGGTATATGGCAATAGGCTCACCCCCTATTACATGGGACTCATAACATAAATAGTAAAAGTAGGTGTTACATAGTGCAGTGGCATAATGTGCAAGGGTAGGCACCCTTTCGGGGATAAAAGGCGTGATGTTATGTCTATGTATTTTCTTGGTGATTTAATGTCAAAATATTCATAATTTACGCTGACTAACCAAGCTTCAACTATTGAAATTGTCCTAAAACGTGGCCAACATTAGCTAGCACAATCATAATATTTCTTTTAAACTAAACAAACTCTAACGGATAACAAAATAAAGCTCAAAATCACTCAAAAATCATCTCTTTTGCAGACTAGCAGATTTGATGGAGCAACACAAAGAAGAGCTAGCAACGATAGAGACGATAGACTCGGGGGCAGTATACACGCTGGCACTGAAGACGCATGTCGGCATGTCGATAGAGACGTGGAGGTACTTCGCGGGGTGGTGCGACAAGATACAGGGCGCTACTATACCTATTAACCATGCTAGACCTAACAGGTAACATTGTTAAGTTAAAATATTGTTGTAAAATTAATGTTAACATAAATATCGTATATTTTATTAAGTTCTTCTGTGTGATTAAGTCTTGGGTTCGATTCCCTAGTTAGACATTTTTTATTTCAAGGTATGCGTATTGGTAGCGAGTGTTTAATGTTAACAATACGAGAAACTCTTGATGTTAATTAAATATAGAATTTTCTCTCTTCGAAAAAATTATTTCCATCTTTAAATTGTGCAATAAAATATTTTTAGCTGATTTAAACAAATATACAAACTCAGACTTATAACATCGAATTTTATGTTAACAACTATGCAATGTTACAGGAACCTGGCAATGACGAAGAAGGAGCCAATCGGTGTATGTGGTCTGATAACTCCGTGGAACTACCCGTTGATGATGTTGTCGTGGAAGATGGCGGCCTGCCTCGCCGCAGGGAACACTGTCGTCATGAAACCCGCTGCTGTAAGTATTGTATTTTGCCTAAATAGATATTTGTGTAACACGTAAAAAGAAGATAGCAATAGAAAATTATTTATAACAAAGGAAATTCTACCTTATTTTGTTTCGTTATAAGTTTATTTTTGTGTGACATAGAAATTATTGTTTATGATAGATATTTTGCAACATATAATAAAGCGATAGTAAAAGATAAGTGCACAATTATACCAAAAATCGACCTAACCTGTTTGTGCTTAGGGTACATTTTTGCGTAACAGACTGTTATACATAGAAAAGTTGCTCTGTCAATCCACTGCTAGATTATAAAGAGGTTTATCCATGGTAATAATCTCCCATAAAGCCTCAGCTAGCGACCGCAGCGCAGTTTAAAAATGTTGGTCTCCTTATATCAACCCTAACGACTTTTGTAGGGAAAGTAGACTACGCAGCTTCAAAAACAGACTTGTTACGACATTTTTAAATTATAATGTTCCTCTCTCCTCCCCAGGTATGTCCTCTAACAGCGCTTAAATTCGCGGAGCTATCAGTCCGCGCGGGCATCCCGCCCGGCGTCATCAACATCATCCCCGGCAGTGGCACTGTCGCCGGACAGGCACTCGCTGACCATCCACTCGTTAGGAAACTTGGGTTCACCGGCAGTACTGAGATTGGTAAGTAGACTGATTGTTACGTGACCGTAGATTTTTTGGATAGACGGCATTAATTTGATAAGGCAATGACTGCCTCGTGGGCCGATTGGTCGCAAATGCGACTGCCGGGCAAGGGGTCTCGGGTTCGATTCCCGGGTCGGGCAAAGAAATACTGGTTTTTTTTAAGTAAGACTAACTACATAAAATTCTAGCAGATTTGCTTTGGATTCGTATTTAAAAGTTAAGAAAATACTGCATGATGCTATTTATTATCTACCCTTTTTTATTAGATATATTTTCATACCCAAATTCTCAGATTGTAAAGGTTCTTAACCATGCAATGCTTTTAACACAATATTTATCTTTACAGGTCAAACTATAATGAAGTCGTGCGCCGCCTCCAACATGAAGAAAGTCTCCCTCGAGCTGGGAGGCAAGTCCCCGCTCGTTATATTCGAAGACTGCGACCTCGACAAGGCTGTCAGAAATGTAAGTAGTACTAAACAAAATTATTCACATTACGACTGTTTGAATAGATAAAATGCTATCCTTATTATCCTTACTTCCTTACTAATATTATAAATCTGAAAGTGAGTTTGTTTGTTCCACCTTCACGCCGTAACTACTCAACCGATTGCTTTGATTTTTTGCAGACGTAAAGTTAGAAGTCCGGATTAAATAATAGGGTACTTTTTAACGCGGAAAAAAATTGATATTCCCGAGGAAAAACAAAAGTATTGGTATAGATGGCGCTGTGTGTATTGGTATATGTCACATTGGCTACTTTTTATTCTTTTGTGACGCGAGCGAAGCCGCGGGTAAAAGCTAGTAGTTAATATTTATTGAAAATTCATTTTTAATATATGCTGGTCCCGATTACACAGCTCAAATTATATTTATGTAGAATTTAATTATTATCATCCCCGGTCGTGGCTCGAAAGTAGTCGAGCTCCCTTGAACATGAAAACTCATCTCAATTTTCTATCACCCAGGGTATGGCATCGGTATTCTTCAACAAGGGCGAGAATTGCATAGCAGCTGGCCGTCTATTTGTTGAGGAGACTATTCATGACGAGTTTGTCCGTCGTGTCGTAGCCGAGACCAAGAAGATGAGCATCGGCGACCCACTGCACAGAGGTACAGCTCACGGACCACAGAACCATAAGGCACATATGGACAAACTTCTTCAGGTAGGCATTACGTTTCCCCAATTAATAAACTATTTCCTTGATAAATTGACTACATAATATATTCGTCGTGAGTTGTTCCGGAGATTAGGGCGTATAAATTAGATACCTATTTTAATGCGATTTTATTATAACATTCGCAACTTTGTTTTCTCCAAAATACGAACTATGCTATTTAAAATCGCAGGGACGCACAAAGCAACCTTGAATTAATCCAAAAGTATCAAAGAAGACACCTTAATAATTGTACACACTTATTTCTGTTCTACAAAATGTATATTTCGTTCCCCACAGTTCGTCCAGCGTGGTGTGAAGGAAGGCGCGACGCTTGTACTGGGCGGCAACCGCGTGGACCGACCTGGATACTTCTTCGAACCGACAGTGTTCACTGACGTACAGGATGACATGTGGATCGCCAAAGAAGAGTCATTCGGACCTATCATGATCATCAGCAAGTTTAGTAGCAAGTGAGTATATTTTTCTTTATTTTACTATTTGTGGTTAAAGTTATATTTTTAGTCTGTAAGCAATTCTGCAAACCTAATGTACATACATACAAAAAGAAATGAAATAAGCTTTATATTATTTACCTATATAAAATTGTCATTGAAACAATTTATTTGAAATAGGCTACAAGGCAGAACTTTTACACGTCAATTTTTTAAGCGAACGATGAGGCCGACATTTCCTAACTGACTACTCTGAGAAGAAATGCCGAAACAAACTCAGAGGTCCGTCTCGTGGCTCGTCCGTCCGATTGTGATGTGAATTCTACGCATCATTTTGAATGATAGTCATTTTAACTGAATCCACGAAACCACAGCTTGGTCATTCTAGGTCACTCATGCTGGAATACTGAAACGTTACTCAATTTTAAGACGTGCTTAAATATCGTGCCATCTCTGTCATTTCACAAAGAATTAGTGGTGACAGAACTAAAGCGCGACTTAAAATTGAGTAGCGTTTCAGTATTCGGGCATCAATCATTTAAAATAACTTTGTTGTTAAATTGTTATTTGGTTAGAACTAATTTTTAATCACATAAAACTAAACTATTTCCTTTCTCCATCAGAAACATGGACGACGTAATCCGTCGGGCTAACAACACAGAGTACGGTCTAGCCAGCGGAGTGTTCACGCGGGACGTATCTCGCGCGCTACAGTTCGCAGAGCGCATTGACGCCGGCACCGTCTTCGTCAACACGTACAACAAGACCGACGTAGCCGCACCTTTCGGTGGTTTCAAACAATCTGGATTCGGCAAGGATTTAGGTATGTATACCTTAATTACCCAAGATTAAAATACTGCAGAAATATTATGGAAACTCGTCCCTAAAAGAGTTACTCTTGTATAATAAAAGGATGTTCCTCTTTCTGAGGGAGGTTACTGAAGCTGGAGACACTTTCAAGCTTAGTACAGATAAAAGTAACTAGCAAATACCTATGAAGTTTATTTAATGTTCACGGAATGGTTCCATACTTTTTTATGGTATATACCGGGCTGACAGATCACCTGATGGTAAGCAATCGACGTCGCCCATGGACACCCGTTATGGCGTTACAAGTACATTACCGGCCTTTTGGGGATTAGGAATTTAAGGATTGTTGGAGATTCAGGGAACGGAAAAGGGGGTTAATTGGGCCTTCGGTAACCTCACTCACACGACGAAACACAACGCAAGCGTATTGTTTAATCCATATAAATCAAGCAATTTCATCATACTCTCAGATTGTGGTAAAATGTAGACTTAGATGTACCTTAGCGAATTCGAAAGTTCTTACACAAAGCGACTCTAGAAGAACTTTGTGGTTGACACGATTAGTTGTCAAACCAAATTAATCTTAGTTAAACCTAACGTAACAAAACGTTATTTTGGTTTCAGGACAAGAAGCTCTGAACGAGTACCTCAAGACGAAAAACATCACAATCGAGTACTAGGATAAATGAACTGAATAAGAAATTATGTCAAAAAGTGCCTAAGTTTGAGGATGCCTTGTAATGTTCACATAAATACCTGTTTTAGATATTTAATGTTTTGTTTTCTTATTTCATAGTTTAAAGTTATTTGTGTAAACAAAAGGCATCCTAATTGTATAAATCGTAAGATCTACTAATAATATAGCTGTAAATTATTGTAAATATATAGTATATAAGATACGTTTTTACACAATGACTACAATGCATAATAATGTTAATTAATTATACAATTATTTGTATTTAAATTTTTATTTGTTAAAGACATTATTTTTAAATAAAATTCTTTACAATTTTACTGGATATTTTTTTTTCATTTAAATTACTAAAAGAATACTGATATAAACATAAATACCAAACTTAAAATATTTTAGATAAACATCAGATTTTTCAACCATTCTCGCTGCGAATCTGGTTTCGGCCTCTTCCATTTTTCAAGGACCTCTTTTCTGTAAACGGAGTTATAATACTTTGAAATATAAGCTAAAAATATCCTCTCGCGCGCCTCTCGTACACGCGGGCAAATATTTTAATAGAAAATCGATTAACTATTCTGTTCAATCAAGTAAAGAACGGGTTGCAAACTTGAAAATATACGTCACAGAAAAAATATCCAATCGGTGCGCGCTTCTCGTACACCCGTGTGTACGAGAAAATGCGAGAGGATATAAATTAAATGCTGTTAAACACTAATTGTATCAGATACTATGAATGTGGTGTAAGCTAAAAAAGCGCTTGACTTATATTTTACTGACGTGTATGCACCCAAACAATATGACTTTTTTATATTTGACGGGTCGACGTTTAACCACTATCTCGCCTGGTGGTAAGCGATGATGCTTTCTACGATGGAGCATATCGAACCATAAGCTTATTCACTCGGGCCTTGAAGACACCCAGGATATAACCATTCAGGACACCAGACTCTGTCAAAGAATTCCATTCTTAGCAATACGCACAAGGAAGTTTGATGCGAAGCACTTCGTGCGTTTCGATGGGACTTAATATACTTCATTAAAAGTTCTAAATAATCACAAGACTTACGCCTTACCGAATATCCTGACGCATTTGCACATGTCTCGGATCGCCAGCTAGAGTAGATGAATAAGTTAGAGAGTCCCCATCATCATCGTAACTATTAGAACCATAACCATAGCTTGGTGTTATAGCCAGACGTAAATTACGAAGCTGTTCGGACTCTGTAGATCTACAAATAAACGTACTAGAGTTTAAAAACTCCGCTTGCATTGCTGGCCGGCCTTTTCTAAGGCACGCCACCATCCACTGATATCGTCACTCCAAGCTGGAGGGCGCCCTACACGTTTACCTTTTATACTCTAAAATATGTCTAATTGTCCAACCCAGTGGAGTGGGACTTCTGGGGATTTTTTAAATTCTCATTAAGAGATCGAAGCCTAGATTTGCGAATTGAAAGCTGATGTGGCAGCGGGTCGGTCACATTGGTCGAAGAACCGATAACCGTTGGGGTTCGAGAGTGGAGACCGCAACTAGGCAAACGCAGTGTCGGGTGTCCTCCAGCTAGGTGTCGTCACGACATCCGGAAGGTAGACTGGCAGTGGTTGGATGAGAAGAGCTGAACACCGAGTTCAGTGGCGTGCCATTAGAGAGGCATATGTCCAGAAGTGGACGAACACAAGCTGATGGATGATGAAGATGACGATGAATAGTTTACTGAAATACTTATAATGAACAGTTCAGAACATACTTTTCATTTATAGGAACGGAGTTCGGAATTACATTGTGCCTGATAATATTGCTCGTGTGAAGATAATGGTTTAGTTTTCTCTGAAATAAAAAAAACTGGTTATTAGGTAACTACTTAAGTAAATATTTATTTTGGATAGCTAAATGATTCCATTTGAAGCATTTGCGAAGCCGTGAATATGTTAGGGAAGAGCCAGGAGAATCTTCGATTAAAATAATATGAAAAAAAATATTTTAAAATATCTTTATTTATTTTCATTCAATAACTTACAGACAAATTGCACGTGGCACTTAGAGTACGAAACATCTTTGCCTTTATAATTGGGCAAAGAACAGAACAAAAATATGTACTAGAATTTTGACGCCAGACTGTTTTACTTGGCAAACTGTTTTACAATGACTGCTGTAAACCGTCAAAAACTGCGATAAAAACTAGAAGAAAAAAAATGTAATACGCTGCCAAGATTATTTTCACTTGGCACCTCTATATTTCGAGATATTGCAAGATTTCCTAGCGGAATAGGTTTTGACTATTCTTAAGCTATTTCGTCCTCGAAAATTGTTAGTACTATGCAAAGAGTATAATAAGTATAGGGGTAGTACTATGTTAAAATAATAATAGTTTTCAAACCTTGGTTTAAGAGTTTGGGAATGGGTCCACTTCATGCAAAGTAACTCACACCAGTCCCACCCTATCGCTCAGACAGCAAATATGTTTAAACTGGAGAATGTATATACCCCCTGGTGTGGGTACCAGGGAGTAGTTTAACGACCTGCTTAAGCCCGGTATCTTCGGGTATGCAGATGACAGCACAGTTGTGGAAAGGTATGTGTCCGACGCGCGGACTAGCTGAATACAGATCCGGTCTCTAAGAGAATCCATGGTCGAGCGTTTGAACTCGTCCTTGAATGCGGTCCCGACTGGGGTGATACTAACTTGGTCAACTTCAACGCTAGCAAAACTCAGGCGTGTCTATTCTCTGCCAAACGGAGTCAATTTCCGGTGACTCCTACTTTCCGGAATGTATCCGTTCCGATAACTGATGATCTTGAGCTTCTTGGCGTAACTCTGACGCCCACACTCAACTTTGGCTCTTAAATGGAGTCAAAAGCGCAACTGGCCGGTAGGAAGCTAACCTAAGCTAGGGTAACCTATGGAGGGTAAGACGGTACTTCACGCCTAATCAATTGCTGAGCCTGTGCCAGGCACAGGTTCGATCTTGTATGGAGTACTGCTCTCATCTTTGGGACGGCTCGGCCAAATATCAGCTGGACGCGTTAGATCACATCGAGAAGCGTGCCAAGAGGCTCATCAACGATGATGCGCTTGTGATTATTTTTCTACCGGATACATTTCGGAGGGTGTGCGGGGGAATTGCACAACTTGATTCCCCCTAGACCTTTCCATCATCGTACCACAAGACAATCGGCGAAGCGTCACCGATTCATGGTAGATGTCCCACCCACACGCACGAAGCGCTTTGCATCAAGCTTCCTTGTGCGTACTGCTAAGGAGTGGAATTCTTTGCCAGAGTCTGTATTTCTGTAGGATATAACCTGGGTGTCTTCAAGGCCCGAGTGAATACGTTGCTTATGGGTCGAAGTGCTCCATCGTAGGACACATCATCGCTTACCACCAGGCGAGATAGTGGCCAAACGTTAGTCCCATCTAATATAAAAAAGGAGCTGTAATGTTATTTTTTGGCTTTATAAGAACCACTAGATTTTGAGATATTGCAAGATATCTTATCGGACTAGGGTTTCTTGACTATTGCTTGCCTGATTAAATAAGTACTAGTACTCAAACCGTTTTCCCGGAGACAATAGAACGGCGGCTCATAAAAAGTTAGCACTTTATTTTTAGCTAAAATTGATCAAGTTTCAATTCTCTAATAGACCCTATTTCACTATAAAATAATAAAACGCATGTTATTTGTCAACTTGACTTAGAGTTGGAAAACGTCAATTTGAAACACGTCAAAATCAGATGTTTATTTCTGATTTTCGAGAAGGAAAACCGTAATTACGATAAAGTTATATTGCTCTTAATTTGTTGATATAAAAAATATTATAAAATGAGCAAGGCAAAGTTGGCGTTGCGCGATATTTCGCCTGTGATGCAAAAATTTAGGGATTTTCTTCTTGGAGTGAGTATACATTGTTTTGTTTTGGTTTATTATGTAACTAGAATGGATTGGGTAAAAGGCTGTGTTATTTGTTTTTGTAGAGGAAACATACGAATGCTTTACGTTTTGAGCCACTCATCGCGGCTAGGACTCAACCACAGCCGCAGATCCCTGATGGATCCTCTCACAAGTGAGTATGAAATTATAACCTCATTTTTTGTTTTATTTAGGAGAACTTTTACTCTTAGATGGGATGTGATTGTCATTAAGAGCCCAATGATGAAAAGCTATTCTTTTAATTAAAAATCAAAAGCTATATCAAAATATAATTGTAAAAAGAATATTTAGTAGTATTTAATATAATAAAACCCCTTGTTTACAGTTTTATTTACTCATATCTTGTAACTAATAATTCCAATTTTCAGACACGCTCAAAACTACTACTACACTCGGGATGGCCGTCGTGAAGTGGCTCCTCCTATGAACTTGACGCAACAGCTCTTATCAGCTAGCAGCGACAAGGGGTAAGGAAATAAAGTATTGTAAGAATTTAGCCTGCCAGGAAATAGAATATTTATTTGTCCTGTATTTTGAAAAATGGTAACTTTGTCTAATTAGAATTTCACATGTAATCGTTCAAGTCATCGTTGGCAAGGGCATCAGACTTAATTCATAGGCCAGAGAATTTTCAAAGATTACTACTAAGTACGGAGCCAGATATTACATGGGACTCATTGTTACAACAGACTGGTGAATATGACAATAACTAAATAGTTGGTGAATTATATTTTCAGAGCACCAAAGCAAGCAGCGAATGCTAGGCCTACACCAGGCCCCGTGTACCAGTGGGACAAACACTATGAATAAACAAATACATAGTAGCAAATTAATTGAATATATAACTGATATCAGATGTTTAAGTTAAATAAAGTTTATGTAGAATAAGGGCAGAAGGTTTTCATATTATAGTAAATACCTTGAAAATGCCTGAAGTTTTTATACTAAAATATTTTAGTAAAAACAGTTGTATAATATTGGATTTCTTAGGTAAGTATTCAAGGTGCTATTAAGATTTTTATTGAATTCATATAATTTACATTAAAACTAAGAAGATTTAAGTTTTTTTTTTATGTGGAAACTTGGGTGAAATTTGTCATTATCATAGCTTACTTTACTTGTTTTTTCTGAAAAAGGATTAGTCGTGAAATAAAACGAAGTAATTTTTTAAATACGCATCCATGTATTTTCTACAAATAGGCAATGCATAAAACAATAACAATAATTTTAAAATTTTACAAATTCTTATATAGAAACATTAAATTTGCCAAACACTGGCCATACAAGTCAAACTATCAGACACGCAGATGACAAAAATACCTACTTTTTGGGAGTTTATTTACTACTTAACTATTTGTTAAGAGTTCCTAGTTACCTACAAAGTTTCTCACACTTGCAAACTATATAAGTATATACATAAGTTATAAAAGTCTAACTCTACATCCCAATACTTGAATTTTATTAATATTTAACACCATTAGACTGTTTCATCACTTCCAGTTAAGTTTCTAGTAGTCTAACTGGCAGATAAATTTTCTTCCATATCAAATGTATCAGTTAAGCACATGTTACAGGGGCTTTGGCTCAAAACAGGAGTAGGAACGGTGTGGTTTTTAGTCAGTAAGAGCCTGACACTCCCTCACCCCTCACCCAAGAAATTATTCGATGATTATTCTATAATTCTATATCAAATCAAAAAGTTAATTGAAAGTTATTTTTTTTCTTTTTACCACGACGGTGGCAAAATGCACACGGCCCACCTGATGGTTAGCGGTTACCGTGGCCTATGTACACTTGCAACACTTGGGGCATTACATGCTTCTTGCCGACCCTTAAACCTATTCACTCCCCTCTTGAAGAACCCCATGTTGTAGCCTACAGGGAATACCACGGCAAGGAGTTCATTCCACAATCGGAGGGTCCGTGGTATCAATATAACCAGAAGTGTTGAAACAGACCCGCGAAATTTCATTTACATGATTATGTATTTCTTCCCTACCTTACAATATTTTACAATTTATTTGCTAATCAACTTTCAGATACGATATGGATACATTTTTAATTCTATATTTTAAAATACTGGTTAAATTCATATATATGTACTATAAATTAGCTGCATAATGTATGAATAATTTCATTGGCTAAATAACTGGCTCTGACTGGCCTGGCTTTTGTAGCTATACCAATCCTCATCCCCAAGACGATTGTAAACTACTTGTATTATACTGAAATAATTATGATTTCATTGAAGATAATATCTTATTTGTGGTGTGATTGTTCTAAACTTACCAACTTATCTATTCAGGGCCTCTAGCCAAAAGCCACTTTAGCGCTTGTCTACAGTGAGAGTAGAAATCAAAATGTATGGGGATGACACTGACAAGTGTCAAAATTTATGTCAATTCCATATAATTTGGTTTTCTATTCTACATGTAGACAAGCGCTAAATGGCATTTGGCTACAGCTGCAGGGCCTCTAGCCAAACGCCACTTGAGCGCTTGTCTACAGAGAGAGTAGATATCAAAATGTATGGGGATGACACTGACAAGTGTCAAATTTTACGTCAATTCCATATAATTTAGTTTTCTACTCTACATGTAGACAAGCGCTAAATGGCATTTGGCTACAACTGCAGAAGAGATATAATATGATACCTATTTAGAGAAAATATAAGTTTGGGATAGCCATGCTTCGGCAGGAATGGGTCAGCTCGACAGGAGTGATACCACAGCCTCACAGAAAACCAACGTGAAGCAACGTCGTGTGAGTGAGGTTGCTGGAGGACACACACCCTCCTCCTGAATCCTCAACAATCCTCAAATTCCAATAGAAAATTGATAAACATATTTTTTAAATTATCAATATCCACCTCAAGATCATTGACTGGGCACAAGCTGGATACTTTATACATTTATGATATGAAATCCATATTAATCTACAATAAAAAAGAAAGAATAAAATACTCAATTTGAAGAATTACATATGACTAAATAGATAAGTTGAGAAGCTAAACAATCACATTGAATACTAATTCACTCTACTACATAATCAGATTAATCGGAACCTTCATAAAATTGCATACAACATTGAATGGAGAACTACAATAATCACTATTATTCATTACATGTCTTATATCCAATATACACCTCTACTGAACTATTTTTCATCTACTGCTTAGCTTACCAATATTCGAGTTAAGACCAGTATTAAAAATACCCTATTGGTAGACTTAGGTACTAAAGATAGAATATTATAAACTATGTCAAAATTCTATCTTTAGTAACCATTAAAGGCATATATTTTTGCTCACTAAAAGGCCATGTTCAACCATAGCAACAAATAGGACCTCATTATCTATGTCAGCGCCATCTAGTAAGAGCAAAAACGATACCTCTCAATCTATCTACAATCTACCGACAAACAGCCTGTCGAAACTGGTCTATAGTAGCTTCTAACTTGTTAATTACACTCACTGTCCAATCTCACAGTCACTCAGGCAACACTCAACACTTCGCGATCTTCGCATGGAATGAGGAGTTGTTTTTTAAAAGCTTCAATCATCACTTGAGTCGGTGGTGTCTGGGGTGCGTATATGCATAGTGGAGAAGGTGCCGAAGCTGAACGCTCTTTTCCTCGGAGGCCGACGCGACCTGTACTTAAACTTTTGTCATTTATCGTCTCCATGTACTTGTTTTCTGAACTGTATGGCGTCACCGTAAGCTTTCTTGACGGCTTTACGATCCGTTGGTTTCCGAGATTCGACTAGTTTGGCCTGGTCCACGCTCTTGTCGAGGCCTAGAGGTTCCAGTTTGTTTGGAGGTAGCCACTGCCAAGTTCGTTTGACGTCGAAGAATAGTACGAGGTACAGTATGGGCTCGTGTGCGTGATTCTTCTTGAGGTTTAGCACGTCCTGCGGTGGCACGGGTAACGGTACCCCGTTATAGATGAATCCTTTTGGTATTTTTGGGTCGATTATTAGGGCCGGGTACCAGGGGTAGCCTCTGTGGAGAGTTATTTGTATTAGTATTAATGAGAACAAGATTTGCGAGTGTAAGCTGATATAAAGTTTTTAACCACTTTTTTGATGAAATGATAAAAATACTGAAATATTTTAATCTTCTTCTAACATAATAGTAATGAATTAATGAGTGTTAATATAAAATGAACTTACTGTTGCCTGAATACCGACCTGCATTTAGCCCAGACAAGTTGGAGCGGCTCTAGTTGTAAAGTCGACGCCTGCGCACATTTGACCGGAGTTTTTGACGTTGAAGACCTTGTTCCTCGACCCTACGTAATGAAAACATTATTTTAATGCCAAAATCTAAGACTGGATACAACATGACTGATTGCATCTAAAACTGACTGCCTCGTTGGTCGAGTGGTCGCAATTGCAACTGCCGGGCATGGGACTCGAATTCAATTCCTGGATCGAACAAAGTATAATGGTTTTTTTTTAAAAACCTGAGACTCATAAAAAGTAAAAATTTAGTGATATATTGTACAGTGGCATTAAGTGCCGTAATTTGCACTTCTGCCAACCCCTTAGGGGGTAAAAGCCGTGATGTTATGTAATGTTCAATTAGAAACATGAGAACACAATTTAGTTATCATGCTTGTGTCTTGACATAATTCCAAGCGAATAATATAAATGAAAATCTAAAAATTGTTTTATGCATTGTGGTATAAAATGTAGTAATAGCAATAATAAAGTATGTATACTTTGACGGGCGTGGTGGGCTCGGCGTCTGACACGTCAGTATTATGCGCGGGGCGGCGGGCGCGGCGCCCGGCGCGCGCCCCGCCGCCGCCCGCCGGCGAGCTGGGGGGCGCGTCGCCGAAACTGGACCTGCAGTATCAAAATAACGTAAACCAGAATATAACATAACGTCGGACGCTGGTTAACGGCAAAATCAAATAGTTTCCACGAGGACTGGCGCATTTTTGTTCATCAGAGGATACTAATATTTCGTAAGATCTAGTAATAGCTACAAACACAGCTCACGCTATGTTTGCCCACGCTATCTGGTGAGTAACAAAGGGCAACGCTTATTACATAAAAAATACACATTTTTGATATGAAACAAAAATATGTTTGGAAGTTGATCCTTTGGTGAAATTTGTTGGTATAGATTCCTATGGAAAAGAATGAGAAAACTACATACCCTTCTTATTACAAAGTACTAAAACAGAAATAATGACACTGACAAAAAATCAGTTCAAAACCAGTATTTTCCATGGACAAATTAAGGCATGTGCCATAGTTTCGATATAAAACCCCAAGATCCAGGTAGAACATTATAATAGTAGTAGTTTTTACTGATTTAATAGTAATGAGAGTCATAACGTAACATACCCATCAGTGGAACTCATAGAGCAGGAGTGGTCCGACGCGCCGTCCTCGTAGTGCGTGCACGACGAGCACGACTGCGACCACGCAGAGCTCGAAGACGACGATCTGGAACATTACACCGCGTCACTCACTGGCACCAAGCTTACAACTATGAAAACGTTATGAAATATGTCATACGATATACGATTTAAAGTTCATATTTAAATGACAATGAACACTGGGTTGGAGCTGAGCTTGTCAGGTGTGGGATGATCTTTATCCTGTATCACAATTTTGGAGTTGTTTGGGTAAATGCTATCGGGACATAACGCGATATTTTGATTTAGGGTATGTACACAAAGCACCGCTAATTAGTTGCAGCGCTACACATCGACACAACTGTCATTTACACAGTGTACATGTGTGCGTAATTTCATATAACTGTATATAAAAATATTCGTCCACCACGTTCACATTGGTATTTTCATTCTTGTGTCGGTATACGTATTTTTATAATTTAATGCATAGGTAAGGTTAAAACTATTTACAATCATTGATATGACCCGACATTTTCACTGTCATTATCGTAGTGCTCGTGGTCGATTGGTTAATGAGCACGCTTTTATCGTCTTTCAAGGATCAATGATGTGGGTTCTATTCCAGCTAAAAGTTAACTTTATTTTACCTTGTTATTTTTCTTATTTTTTTTTTGTTTTTTGTCATAAAATATAAATATCAGGCTATAAAAGAAGCAAATGAGTTGGTAAATAAAACAATACTATTTTTATTACAATTAATTTATTTATTATACAAATATGTTGTTTTATATTCAATATTTATATCTAATAATTAATTATATACCACATGTTAAGTTTAAAGTTCTTTAAATCATAATTAATAGATATGACAATAAACCTCATAGTCGAATCGGGAAATATCATGCGGTACAGCGGTAATACGATGGCAGCAACATTTTTTATTAAGTAGGTAATAAACAAATATACAACATTCTTGTTCTGTAATTTAATAATACATTATTAAATTACAGTTTTACAGTAATAAACAAGTAAAACATGTAAAAAATTACACTGTCAACATAATATTTCTTGAAATGGGCGACTTTTTGTCGTTTGAACTTCCATTAATTATCTATTTTACGACGGTTGTTATAAGGTTCAATATTCAGTGGGCTGTATGATAGTAAAAAGAATGTGACGAATGCTATGGAACGATTTTAACTTTCATGACCTTTAGAATCAGGGAAACTTTAAATTAATTGAAGATGGGCGTAAATATAATATGTCAATCAAGTTCGAAAGCAGTTAAATAAATTTGTTAATGAAAAATTAAAGTGAAGTGAATAAACATGTTGAATAGAAAGAAATTATGACAATTTCTAACCACAAAACAATAACATCACTTCACCGTATGTTCTAGACAGCATTTTAATATTCTTAAAAAAATTAAACATTATTTTATGTTAATTTTAATAAAGGCAGAGTTTGACAGGCTCAATAATTGATTCCGAAATCAATACAATCACTGATCCTACAAGGCAGAAGGTTGCAATTCGTATACCTTTCTCCATCTTTTCTTCACAATATTTTACGCCCATCCTTATCCGACTTGAAAGTCTTTTCGTCGCTCAATATGATTACACTGTTCGCCCAATCAAAGTAATAAAGTCCTGAGCAAATTCTTAGCGCTTTTGCTGGTGAACCACAGATAACAATATTTTCTTCTCTGGCTTCCTGCACCTTAAACCAGAATGCAGGTGTCTCCGTACAGTTTGTATTAAAACATTCAGTGCTGTCGCTGTAGTGCGGGTTGGCAGGAACGGATCAGCCATGTGCCTGGCTACGATGTCGTAGTGCCGAGCCGATGAATTTGCCTTTGGTTTAGGCCCACGTCGACGATGTTTAACGTCACCGGTCTCCGCATATCTGTGCACCCATAACTGCATGGATCTCCTCTGTTGATACCAAACAAATAAGTATTTAAAATACCAGGAAATACTTTACAGGAATTAAAGTTATTTAAAAATAATAATAAATATAAGTAAACACAATGTTAGAATAATAATTTATAATTAAGTAGTGGCGTAAGGAATAAAAATCCCTAACCAGATATGTTTTAAAGAAAAACACTCCTAACAAAAACAAGTCAAGTTACAATACAATTAATAATAAATTATTAATATATCTTTATAATATTGAACTTCATAATAAGTTGCAATAATTATTTTATTCTAGTGCAAAAATTGATAGGTGTGTCGAGTTACAAAATGAAATAAATATTATTTAGAATATCAACGTAGTATCTTATTTACTCACCGATATCATTAAACGCCTTGCTATTTCAGTTATTGTTAGTTATGTTTTGCTCATGCAAAACAATGGTTTCAGCCTTTTTAAATGTTGATAGGTGTTGGAACATCTTGTAAAAATAAAAATAACTTTGCACACGAATATAAGTAGTGTAGCAATAAACTATGAAATCCTCATAAATTGACAACTAAGAACGCAATTATTTTGTAAGTCGGGTGATTTGAAAAACATGTTTTAAATAGTCGGTAGTTACTTCATAAGCGTGTAAAATAAAATGACTCGAGATTTCTATGGTCGCCACAAACATTGCAAATATACTCAGGTATCGAACCATTAAGAAATCACAGTTAATTACTTTTTTACTGTTTTTATCTTATTTAAGTTGGTTGAAATGCATGAAGCAAATGAGATTATTCTAAATAATAAATAACTAGAACTAAAATATAAATAAAAGATATTATAGGTATAAATAAATCTAAAGTATTTACTATTAAAATTAACATAAGATTTAGAACAATAGGAAAGGAAAAAAAAGAAAAGATTTAATTGTTTCTAATTTCAAATTTCAAATATTTGATAAATTAATTCTAAAACAACATGTGAATGTTGGAATCGATCCGGCGGCACTTTACTTGACAATTGGAGGCGATAACCATTGCGCCAAGCGCGCTGTAGATGAGATCATCGAAATATTTTATATCATTCAGTAACATAAAATTACAATGAGAAAGCACTATATTTATATGGGTATTGTATAGCTCGATCGTTCATTATTTTTGATTTCGATTTATTCAAAGTTTGTTATGAGTAATTTTATCTTTACCCTCGTTTTTATTTAAACTTATTTACTAAATTATTGCGTATACCGACACAAAAATGATTTTTAAATACCAAGATGTGTGTGATAGACGAATGTTTCTATACATATCTATTGATATGAAATTACCCACACATGTATATTGTGTAAATGATAGTTGTGTCGATGTGTAGCGCCGCTAACTAATTAGCGGTGCTTTGTGTACCTACGTGAGTGCTGCTCATGAATACGAATCCTGGTGTGACTTGAAATTAGTAGAACACTTCTCAAATAGTCGCGGGTAAACTAAATATTTCAGTTTCCAGGATTCATCATCAACAGCTTATAAAAGCCCACTGCTGAGTTAGTTAGCTAGAGTTTCCAGAATTGCCCTGTATAATTAGTATTATACTGAAAATCAATGGCGTTGATCAATACATCCGAGTATTAGATAAATATATGATAAGTAAGTGTTTTACATACCTGGAGAGCGCAAGATCACTGTCGGAGCCGACCTCGCCTGGCGGGCCGCGGTATTGCAGGAACGACGCGGGCACCGGCGTCGACACACCCTTGCCCTCGCCGCCGCCAGCCGACCTGCTCGCACAACGCATTTACAACCTTACCCTCATCGCAATACAGACTAAAATGCTATAAGCCCCGTTAACCCTTTATAGACATTAGCAAGTCAACTCTGTCAATAGATTTTCAACCTTATTCCTGCATAGTAAGATTAAAAATCTATAAAAGAACCAGTTAAAATTATAGCTAATTGATGTGCTGATTATTGTAACACACACAACTAACTCCCTTGCCCGCAGCTAGTTAGAAGCATTGATCAGAAAACATTATCTACTGCTAGAACTAACGAATATTATACAAAAAAGTTTTGCACCATAGTTGTAAATTTTTATAATCGAGATAGATCTGCCATTGGTTAAGTAAAATATCGATATTTAGAACTGAAGCTATGGAACATCATTAATGCATTAAAGTACTTCAATATCTGTGAGTACTATAATTCTGTAAAAACTGCCACTCGGCACTATGTATAATTGGGTATTTTCCTAAGTAAAGTAAATTATTTCGGCTGTTCAATACAATAAAATATTAACAAATAATCCCACTGTTATTAATTAATTTTATAACCAACTTACGTATTTGATCAGCAAAATTTTAAAATAATAAGTATGCTGTTTGACGTCAAAAAAGGTGACGTCACAATACACAAGCTCGTAAAAAATTCATAGAAAACTGTCGTTTTGATAGTTCGAAAAAAGTATTGAATTTGACTAGTTGGAAAGTATGCAATTACGCGACCGTGTTGTAAAAAGTAGATTTTTGGTGATTCCCCCCCATTTTCACTTTAAATTAAATAATTTTTTAATCGGGAATGTTACTCAGATTTAAGATATATCGTATGGATTTTTGACCTTTAACCCTAGTCAGATGTTTATACCCTATTCAAAATTACAATTAGATCAATATTGTTTTGAAATTGCTGTATTTCAATATTGCAAAGCGGTGCAAAGCTTTTATGTCTATCGACCGCACGTCTGTAGTATCATTTGCCACACTATTATCTCTTACTGCCAATAAAATAAGGACGAAGTTACTAAAAGTACGACGGGCGTGCGGTCAAGTATAAGACTATGAAAAATTATAAGCGGTTTTGTCAAGGTCCGCTAAGAGACACAATCTTCTCCACAAAATATATATTTTAAATATAATACGCACTCGCATAGTTATTTATTTAAGCATATAATGTTATATAAATAATTAATTATGGTGCTTAACCATAAACCGGTCTAATAAAAAGCTGTTAAATTGTTCCAAAAACACCCTTCACCACCCAAAAGGCTCAGTGCCCGACCAATAAAAAAAGGATGGAATTATCTATGGACTTCTTCTAAACATGGCAACATTAAAAGTTCATTAAATTATCGCTCTTATTAGTAATAGTTATTATAGAACAATTTTATTAATCGAAAATTGTTATAAAATCTTTCTTCAGACTATTTCTTGTTGATAAAATTGAATATTATCCATTCATATGTAATTACAATGAATATGTTAATTCAAATTTATGAATGTATTGTTAGTAGTAAATAGTTCGTCCAGAGATAATTTCCGTCAAATAAAATGGTACCTAAATAGATCTGGTGACGATGTCGACTTGTCCTTATCTTGCTTCCGTGGCCTGCCTCGTCCCTTCTTCTTGGGCGAGCTCTCTAAGCTGGACCGACCCAAACTGGCTGACAATGTCGGCAACGACGCTGTTTATAATATTGTAAAAAAATAAGAAGCAAGAAAATTTTGATGGCTAGAAAACCGACCTTGTGGCCTTGGAGTAAAAAATAAAATTAAATATACTGTTACCGTAAAGGAAGCGTGGTTAGTAGTGTCCAATTGAAGGATGAAAAGGAAATATAGTTACCATCAGAGCCGAAGCTCTTGGGTGGTCCGATGACGGTAGACGGTGATACCAGTAGAGTTGGCTTCCTAAGTGCACCCATAAGCCCCAACCCTGTAACTGGCAACATTCCAACCTATTACAAGTATTTAGATAAAACTGGTAACTGTTGCTAAGTGTTTACTGACACCTGTGAACCAAATTCTTTCGTTAGGTCACGTAAAAACCTGAAACCTTGCACAAAAGTAATGTTACGCGACATTTTTATTAATTAAAAACTTAAAATATTTGCGTCGCATTAATCGTAAAAAAACATTGTGTAAAAGTATAAAAAGTTTGTGTAAAGTTAGCACAGATGGCGCCAGAGTCGTTTTGGGCGAGTCGTAAGTAAATATGGAACGAAATGTACCGACTATAATAGAATAAAATTATTATATAAATTAACTAAAACTAATAGGTTCTAATAACATATACATTACATTGTCACAATAAAAAGAGCACCTCGTTTATAAAAAAATAAAAATAAAAAAGTAAAAAACATTCTTCTTTGTGGCGTCCATAAAAAACATCTTGGAACTTTAAAAATGTCAAAAATGTGTTTTTATTGTTTATGGAGAAGATTGGTCAGAGATGGCGAACCCTGAACAAACCACGCATGTCTATAAAGATAACATCAATATGTGTTACTAACTTGGCGTTGTCTCTGGTTGTTTGACGGGTGATTTCTCTGGTGTTGCCAGCTTAAGAGTTCGCTCCGCAGTGGTGCCAGGCACTGGAGTCTCTGATCCAGAGGTTGGAGTATCTGTGGACATGGATAATAGTAATAATGATAGAGTTTATTATTCTTTTTATTGCTCCAAAGGATGGTCATTATATATTCAACCTAGAAGTCAACTAAAATAATCTTACTATTTCTAAAATTGACAAGACTCGTATTGGGTTCCAGGTTGACAATAGGTATGCTATCAAAATAACATAATTGATTAGGCGTGAATGAATGCAAGGACGCCCCCCTCGAAGTTTTAATATAATGGCATACTTCAAAAGCTAATTTTTCTTGTTCATATTCGTACTGTAATTATATTTTGTAAGCATAGTACTTACCGTTATCCACAGCACGTTGCGCCTGCGCAGGCTGTCGTCCCCGTCCCCTAGGTCTCCCCCCACGTCGTCCCCTAGTCCGGCCCCGACCGCGTAGGTATGGCTTGGCGCGTCCTGACGCTGGGGATGTGGCGCGGTGAGACTGGAGGCAAAACAATATTTTATAAAGAGGAAGGAGAAAAGAGAGGGCATGATAAATAATAGTAATATAATAAACAAAAAAAGTCTGACTACTCATGTAACCACATTACTATATTCATTCCATTGCTAACTCCAATGTAATCACTACATAGTATAAAACAAAGTCGCTATCCGCCGCCTGTCTGTCCCTATGTATGCTTAGATCTTTAAAACTACGCAACGGATTTTGATGCGGTTTTTTTAATAGATAGAGTGATTCTTAAGGAAGTTTTATATGTATAATACATGCATATTGCACCCGTGCGAAGCCGGGGCGGGTCGCTAGTATAGGAATAAAATATCAACTTACGGCGATATTTTCGTCATCAGAATCTTTCGGAGCGACGGACTGTCGCCTCTCACTGCGAGCCTTCGATACGCTGCGGTCCTTACGTCGTTCTGAAAAAACAAAGAGGTACTAACTTTATTTATTACTTTGATCATAACCCAAGGTTGTGTCGTTATCTTAACTTGATTCAATTGAATGTCAGCATCTTATTTGAATCTTTCTGACTAGTGACGACAAGACTGACGAAGGAAGATCATGTAAGAAATCAGCTATACAATTTGTACCTGGTGTAGGTTCCCTTTCGCTCTCGCTACTGGACCGCGGTCGACTGGCGGCGCGACTGACACTGCGCCGCGACCGCGGGGGACTGGCGCGACGGGGACTCGGAGCACTAGACACATAATATTTTATGTAATATATCAGCATGGAATTTCGATGTGTTCGTGAGGTATGGTCTACATTTTGAGTAGATAACACATTCATGGATTTTATGTTGAAACTTAACACCTATGTATACATGAATGCCATAAAGAATTTGATAGATTTCAATTCAAGGCATGAGTGACTATTTTTTTTTCGAAAAACATTGCTCATCACTTGGGTTTTCTCCTATGTCGTGGGTGCGTTTGCAAACATACAACTTCACATACACATGACACCCAGACCTGGGACAACAAGTTGTGGATCACACAAAGAGTTGTTCCGTGCGGGTATGGAACCCGCAACACGTTGCACCGCGCCAACCGTACAGTCTATTGTTGCGCCACACCATAATCATTATGGTGTGGCGCAACAATAGACTGTACGGTGGCTCTAGTGCTGTTGGCAGAACTTGTTGATCAAAAAGATTTCTTTATCAGAATAGCAAGTGATGTGTCATGATTTGTTAATAATTTGTTTATTAGATTAACCACCATAATGTATTTATTTTCAATGTACAAGTATGTATTGAAACATATATTTATAGTCGGCCACAGATCGCTGGAGATTAATTTGTTTTTCGGAACCATTAATATTTTCCATTAAAATGTAATTAGTACATCAGTTAGATATTAGAAACATATTTTTTTTATTTTGTATGTATTTAAACATATAGTTACCAGTTCCTTGGCGGGCTATCGGGACCGGGCGTGGTAGGACTAGCGGGGGGTAAGCAGAGAGCCTGCAGCCCGGCCTCGCGTACATCGCGCCGCGCTGCACGGAACAATGGTAAACATTGCTCACGCATCTTTACACCCGCCCTGTAGAGGATAATGTGCCTTATTATGTCTAACATATGGTTAATTTATAAGCTTCATTGTTATTACACCTTACTTCTGTTCTGGCAGGCAAAAGTATGCCTTAATCTGACTAAAACAACGTTTATTATGTAATGCAAACTAAAAACTATCTTATAGCCATTATACAAAAATAAACACCTTGTCTATATTCTTTGAGATTTGCTTTAATTACTACAATTTTTTCACCCACAACATCTTATAGGTGATATTTTGTCGCATGGACGGCAGTCCATTATAATGTTCAAATACTCATACTTTACATAATTTTAAAATATTTAAAACTATTTCAGTTCCTTTATAAAATTATAGAGATAACGTAATATCTACAACTTAAAATTGAGTATTCGGGTATAAGTGACTTACTTGTAGAACACGGTGTCCTTATTATTATAAGTGAGACAGTTATCGATCATAAGCTTGAAGTCTGCTTCCATATCGTCGATGGTGGCGTATGCGCCGCGGTCCAACTTCTTACCCATGGTGCTTAGGTCCATTGGGTGTTTCACTATGGTACTGTAGTCTGGCACCTGAGTCGATAAAGTGTTATTGTAGTAAGTTGGTATAAGAATGTTTTTTATTACATTAATTTAATAAAGAGTGGGAGAGCCATGCTTCGACACGAATGTCCGGCTCGACCGGAGTGATACTACGGCCTCACAGAAAACTGACGTGAAACAATTGTGTTTGAGTAAGGTTACCGGAGTTTTAATCAAATTTCTAATCCCTAAAAGGCCGGTAACGCACTTGTAACGCCTCTGGTGTTCTAGGTGTCCGTGGGCGACGCTTAATTGTTTAACCATCAGGTGATCCGTCTGCTCGTTTACCGGCTTTTCCATAAAAAATTACAATTGCAGTTCATAATTAAGGGCTCAAAACTAGACGAACATCTTTGTAATAAAATGTTTTTTAATGAACTAAAATCGCGGGTTACTCAAGTGAATATACTGAGAAAAGCTCTACTAGTGAGCTGCGCGATGTCGCCGCGACCGCGCACGCTGCTCATGAGGAAGAACCCCTCTGTAGTTCGAAACTAGTAGAGCTTTTCTCAGTATATTCACGTGAGTAACCCGCGATTTTAGTTAACATAATTTTAGTTGGTTCTTTTTAGTGACATTGTAAGGTTGTCATGAGTTTGACATGAGCGTATCCAGCATTTGGTGAAGAAATACCTGAATATTGTAGTACATAAACGTACCTCCTGCAGGTCGACGGGCTCCGTGAAGATGTCGCTGGCGTCCTTCTGCCGCAGTAGCCGCAGCAGTTTGTGCAGCGCGGCGCGCTCGGGCCGCAGCGTGTGTAGCACGCACCGCTCCCACACGCGCGTGTACTCCGCCTTTAGACGCTCGCGTTTGCGGACTAACTCGCATAGTAATCTAGACGAAGTTATATAAATATCAGCCTTGTAAATAGAATTGTACTTGTCACATTAAATACTTTTTCGAATGATCAAAAATGAATGCAATAGTTTTTAGGGAACACAGTGTGATATTGTTTAATTTCAGAAAGAGGTAGCATGCTTTTTTGACCTTCGTAGAGATGTGGAGTTGTGATGGTATTTTTATAGTAGTTTGAGCGATTTTTTGCGTCAGTGCCAACGACTAGTGAATGAACCATCGTATATAGCTTTTAATATAAAATTCCGTAAGCAACTGATTACTAACAGGTCTAGTCCGGCCCAAAATTAGTAGTTATAGTACACTGATGTGAATAAACTGCTAAATACTGGTTTAAAATAACATTTTAGTTAATAAAATATCATATTGTCGTGGCAGCCGAGAGGTTTAAGACGCCCGCTTCTCATAAATGAGGGTGCCGGTTCGAAACCTACCAACGGCTAGTACCAATGTGACATTTTCCGAGTTAAATGTACTTTCTAAGATTATTTAGACACCACTGACAAACGGTGAAGGAAAACATCTTGAGGAAACCTGGACTTATAATTATAAGTTTGAAATCGCCAACTCGCATTAAGCAAGTGTGGTGATTGATGCTCAAATCTTCTCCGTGTGAGAAGAGGCTTTGCTCAGCAGTGGTAATTTATAGGCTGTTGATGATGGCCATATTATTTGTATTAGTTGTTTACCTGGCTCTCTCCAAGTCCTGTCGTATCCTCTGCCAGTACTTCAGTTGGTTGCATAGTTCCCTCACATTAACAGTGCCATCCTGGATACCTCGAGTACCTAATGAAACCAAACAAAATATGTTTAACACATTTACTGCATAATTTTCACAACGGGTTTCAAGAAGTGTGAATCGAGTACATGAAGATTTGTAAATCTTAAGCGAAACCGAGAGCGGAATGTTTTCTGTATTGGGTAAATCTTGCCACAATCTCTAAAAAGCGCTGCGGAAGGTTGGTGTGTGATTGGAATCCGTTAACCATTTTTAACCGACTTCGCAAAAAGGAGGAGGTTCTTAATTCGGCTGGTATGTTTTTGTTGCTTTTTTTGTCAATTTTTTCCACTCATATCATCATTTCCAGTGACAAGACCGCCTTTGTGTCCATTTCTTAAATATTTTTTCTAGGTACAGTGTCTTTAGCCAAACGCCACTTTAGCACTAGTCTACAGAGAGAGTAGAAAACTAAATGTATGGGGATAACACTGACAAATGTCAAAATTTACGTCAATTCCATATAATTTGGTTTTCTATTCTACATGTAGACAAGCGCTAATTGGCATTTAGCTACAGCTGCTGGTGTACTATAAAGTATACATTACATAGGCATTATATTCTATAAGATCCACTACTCACCGTGATTACTAGTCAAGCTTTGCAGCCGTCTCAGTAATGGCACACCATTCCTGCTATGTCTCTTCAGTGTCCAGTAAGCAAGGAGTCTCTTCATAAGTTGTGCCCTAGCGGCCGGGGCCCCGGGGGCCAGGGCCGCCACCTCCGCCACCCGGTCCGCCGGTAATGTAGGGACCAGCACTACTGGGGCCCATGTACGCTTCATCGCTAGGACCCGACGAGCCTGGGAGAGAAGTATGAGAATTATTACATCCATGAAGATCATGTTTCGGCAGAAATGGAGAACTATCACCTATAACATTTTCAGTGGCTTATAAATGGATCTGATTAATGCATCCTCTCCTCTATTAGACGGGAATTAGAGTTTTAAACAAAATAGGTATTTTACCTGTTTTATCTTCTCTCTGCCCTTTTGTCGAATCGCTGTCAGATCATTAGATTTTGAGTCGCCGGATTCCGATTCTTGCGCTCGTCGCTCCTAGAAAAATAGAAAAAGCAATAAAAACGTCATTCACTAAATGAGCATTTTACTAAAACTTCCTGAATAAATTCAAAATCCCCAAAATATTTTACAATAGTTTGTACCTGTAGAATATGCGCAGGAGTGTGTGCGTCACAGTACGCCATCTTGGCGACCTGCACCGGTTGACTCGGGTCGCGACCTGCGCCCGCCGCCTCCATCTTCATGTACAGACTGAAATACATTTATAATTTAATACATAGCTGGGCACCGTTAATCAAATAGTTAATCGTTAATCCGCTACAAAAAAAGTTAGCTGCGTTAAACGTTAAAGCGTTACATTTCGGAAGAATTAACGCAAGTTAACGTTAATCCGTTAATATATATAAAATTACATTTTTGCCCCTGCCAATAGCTGCAATCCCGAATGATTCCCCGACGGCCAGCTGTCAACAGGGGTTATATTCTTCTTTTAACAGGATTACGGCTACTTGTGCTATCCTTGTCAGAATGAGTTCTCCTTTTTGTCTTGCCCCGATTAGAGCCCGCCTTAACAATCTCTTCAAACTGTACGTACTGTGACTCATGTACCGTTCTTACATGTTGTTTCAAATTATTCAGGCTTGATACATGAACTTTTATTTTGGTGTCTTTCGGCAAGCATCGCTTACACGCAAAAAGTATTTGCTGCCCCGATCTGGATAGAAATTCCACATACTCAGTCAAATGTGGCCATGGATTCTCATCAGCATCACTGGTATTCGATTCCATGTCTTCCATGATATGGTTTTAATTACTACACTGCACACTACACTTTTTCTAATTAAATTACAATCACAAACAAAACACTCGTCACTGTACCGGCGCTAAGTAATGAAATGATCAAACGAAAAAAATTCTTCGCAGTTTTCTCACTCGCACGCGCAGTCATATGTATCTGGTTTTGTTTTTGTTTCACGCGCTGCTACGCGCCGCGCCGCACCGCGGTGCCATGCGGTAAATAGTAGGCATTGGATTAACGATTAACGGACTTCTGCGTTTTAACGGAAGTTAACGTGTCCGTTACCATTTATGAAAGTTAACTTAAAAGTTAATCCGTTAATCAAAATGTTAACTTCGTTAATTAACGATTAACGGATTAACGATGTGACGTGGAAGGCGCTGTAGCAGTTACTACATCAGATTGTGTGTGTTGTGTGTGTGTGTGTGTGTGTGTGTGCTCACCCGGCCTGCTGGGCGCACGTGACGTGGAAGGCGCTGTAGCAGTTACTACATCAGATTGTGTGTGTGTGTGTGTGTGTGTGTGTGCTCACCCGGCCTGCTGCGCGCACGTGACGTGGAAGGCGCTGTAGCAGTTACTACATCAGATTGTGTGTGTTGTGTGTGTGTGTGTGTGTGTGCTCACCCGGCCTGCTGGGCGCACGTGACGTGGAAGGCGCTGTAGCAGTTACTACATCAGATTGTGTGTGTGTGTGTGTGTGTGTGTGTGTGCTCACCCGGCCTGCTGCGCGCACGTGACGTGGAAGGCGCTGTAGCAGTTACTACATCAGATTGTGTGTGTTGTGTGTGTGTGTGTGTGTGTGCTCACCCGGCCTGCTGGGCGCACGTGACGTGGAAGGCGCTGTAGCAGTTACTACATCAGATTGTGTGTGTTGTGTGTGTGTGTGTGTGTGCTCACCCGGCCTGCTGCGCGCACGTGACGTGGAAGGCGCTGTAGCAGTTACTACATCAGATTGTGTGTGTTGTGTGTGTGTGTGTGTGTGTGTGTGCTCACCCGGCCTGCTGGGCGCACGTGACGTGGAAGGCGCTGTAGCAGTTACTACATCAGATTGTGTGTGTGTGTGTGTGTGTGTGTGCTCACCCCCTGTGGCGCGCGCACGTGACGTGGAAGGCGCTGTAGCAGTTACTACATCAGATTGTGTGTGTTGTGTGTGTGTGTGTGTGTGTGCTCACCCGGCCTGCTGCGCGCACGTGACGTGGAAGGCGCTGTAGCAGTTACTACATCAGATTGTGTGTGTTGTGTGTGTGTGTGTGTGTGTGTGTGTGTGTGCTCACCCGGCCTGCTGGGCGCACGTGACGTGGAAGGCGCTGTAGCAGTTACTACATCAGATTGTGTGTGTTGTGTGTGTGTGTGTGTGCTCACCCGGCCTGCTGCGCACGTGACGTGGAAGGCGCTGTAGCAGTTACTACATCAGATTGTGTGTGTGTGTGTGTGTGTGTGCTCACCCGGCCTGCTGGCGCACGTGACGTGGAAGGCGCTGTAGCAGTTACTACATCAGATTGTGTGTGTTGTGTGTGTGTGTGTGTGCTCACCCGGCCTGCTGCGCGCACGTGACGTGGAAGGCGCTGTAGCAGTTACTACATCAGATTGTGTGTTGTGTGTGTGTGTGTGTGTGTGTGCTCACCCGGCCTGCTGCGCGCACGTGACGTGGAAGGCGCTGTAGCAGTTACTACATCAGATTGTGTGTGTTGTGTGTGTGTGTGTGTGTGTGTGCTCACCCGGCCTGCTGGCGCACGTGACGTGGAAGGCGCTGTAGCAGTTACTACATCAGATTGTGTGTGTTGTGTGTGTGTGTGTGTGCTCACCCGGCCTGCTGCGCGCACGTGACGTGGAAGGCGCTGTAGCAGTTACTACATCAGATTGTGTGTGTTGTGTGTGTGTGTGTGTGTGCTCACCCGGCCTGCTGGGCGCACGTGACGTGGAAGGCGCTGTAGCAGTTACTACATCAGATTGTGTGTGTTGTGTGTGTGTGTGTGTGTGCTCACCCGGCCTGCTGCGCGCACGTGACGTGGAAGGCGCTGTAGCAGTTACTACATCAGATTGTGTGTGTTGTGTGGTGTGTGTGTGTGTGCTCACCCGGCCTGCTGCGCGCACGTGACGTGGAAGGCGCTGTAGCAGTTACTACATCAGATTGTGTGTGTTGTGTGTGTGTGTGTGTGTGTGTGCTCACCCGGCCTGCTGCGCGCACGTGACGTGGAAGGCGCTGTAGCAGTTACTACATCAGATTGTGTGTGTTGTGTGTGTGTGTGTGTGTGCTCACCCGGCCTGCTGCGCGCACGTGACGTGGAAGGCGCTGTAGCAGTTACTACATCAGATTGTGTGTGTGTTGTGTGTGTGTGTGTGTGCTCACCCGGCCTGCTGCGCGCACGTGACGTGGAAGGCGCTGTAGCAGTTACTACATCAGATTGTGTGTGTGTGTGTGTGTGTGTGCTCACCCGGCCTGCTGCGCGCACGTGACGTGGAAGGCGCTGTAGCAGTTACTACATCAGATTGTGTGTGTGTGTGTGTGTGTGTGCTCACCCGGCCTGCTGCGCGCACGTGACGTGGAAGGCGCTGTAGCAGTTACTACATCAGATTGTGTGTGTGTGTGTGTGTGTGTGTGCTCACCCGGCCTGCTGCGCGCACGTGACGTGGAAGGCGCTGTAGCAGTTACTACATCAGATTGTGTGTGTGTGTGTGTGTGTGTGCTCACCCGGCCTGCTGCGCGCACGTGACGTGGAAGGCGCTGTAGCAGTTACTACATCAGATTGTGTGTGTTGTGTGTGTGTGTGTGTGCTCACCCGGCCTGCTGCGCGCACGTGACGTGGAAGGCGCTGTAGCAGTTACTACATCAGATTGTGTGTGTTGTGTGTGTGTGTGTGTGTGTGTGTGCTCACCCGGCCTGCTGCGCGCACGTGACGTGGAAGGCGCTGTAGCAGTTACTACATCAGATTGTGTGTGTTGTGTGTGTGTGTGTGTGCTCACCCGGCCTGCTGCGCGCACGTGACGTGGAAGGCGCTGTAGCAGTTACTACATCAGATTGTGTGTGTTGTGTGTGTGTGTGTGTGCTCACCCGCCTGCTGCGCGCACGTGACGTGGAAGGCGCTGTAGCAGTTACTACATCAGATTGTGTGTGTTGTGTGTGTGTGTGTGTGTGTGTGCTCACCCGGCCTGCTGCGCGCACGTGACGTGGAAGGCGCTGTAGCAGTTACTCTTGTGGCACTGGATGCACGCGCCCACGCTGCGCTGCTTGCACACCATGCACTGCAGCTTCCAGCGCGCCGCCGGGATCATCTCGATCGAATCTGGCGACGGAAAGTACTTCTTATTGCTTTGATATTAGGGTTGATGATTAGATTGACCTGCGCTTACGGTGGCCGGAGATCGTCCCGCGATCCCCGACACCCGGTGTGTCCTTCGCGATGGCTGGGTTGCGAGGAGGCAGCGCTTCGCTGCCTCACGCGTCCCGCCTCCTCCTTAGCTAGCATAACTGCTTCGCAAAAGGAGAAGACGGCATCCCAGTCCCCCTCGCTCCGCATCATGACCTGCACTAGGCCCGGACGCTAGAGGTCGTCATCGCCGATCACTTCCCTGAGGGCACGGCGGTGCTCAGCCTACGCAGGGCATTCCGCTATAGTGTGTTCCACCGTGTCCTCGCAGTGATGACACCCGGGCGTTTCCTCTCGCCCCATCAGACACAGGTACCTCCCGAAACTTCAATTTCAGGTGAGGACCTGCGTCAGGCGGTAGGTGAGGACGCCGTAGCGTCTCTCAAGCCACTTTTCAAAGAGGGGACTTACCGAATAAACGGGTTTGGAGTCGGGTTTTTGAAAGGTAGTTTATAAAAGATGCATTCGACTAAATGTCAACTTTGGTGTGAAATTCTATGCCTGGGTGTTTTCAAAGCCCGAGTGAATATGCGTATAGGTCGTCTTGCTCCATCGTAGGCCGCATCATCGCGTTCTATCAGGCGAGATAATGATCAAACGTTGACCGATCAAATATAAAAAAAAATATGAAGCCTCCACATATCCTATTGGGCTTTTGGTTAGCCAAGATTATAGATATATTTTTTAATGATTACAATGATAAACGAAATAGAATCCTTACCAATTGGCTCCAGGAACACGGTATTAGCAAATCGAACTTCAGGAATCCATAGCGCACACACCACGTGCGCCCAAGTGCCTTGATCCGTTTGCTTGAACGCACCTAAATACAAACAAATTTAAATCATAACACATAAGCAACAAAATACAATTTTCTTTAACAAAACATGTCATGAAAACTGTTTAGTAAATATAAATGCAAATGTAACCTTTATGTTTATTGCATTAAGGTAGATTATTGAATGCTTACCGCCTGTGTTAGGACAGAGTACGCAGTTGACTAGCCGCGATGGTGATTGCAGACATCGCCGGCACAGCCATTGCCCTTCAGGAATGTATGGCACCTGAGTGGATTTGAATGTTATTTTGTGAAACAAAATATGAACACAAGCGACCGCACTTATGGTTTTTGCCCGTAACTCGATTTTAACATAACATAACATTAGGCATTTTATCCCTGAAGGGGTAGGCAGAGATGCACAATTGGGGCACTCGATGCTACTGTACAATGTAACACCTACTTTTCACTATTTATGTTATGAGTCCCATGTAATAGGAGGTAAGCCTATTGCCACATACCGGGCACAATTCCAGAGTTCGTGCTATTACTGAGAAATTTTAAACAATACCCAGTAGTACTCTGCCCGACCCGGGAATCGAACCCGAGACCCCTTGCCGGGCACTCGCACTTTTTACACACACACACACTTTAAAACTGTAAAAATATTAGTTGAAAAAGAATCGCTTCGCTGTGTCGCAAATTTTTATTTCATGGAGAACTTAATGGTAGGACTTAAGTTAGACTTATCGCGGGTGGTGGCGGACATTATAATTATTATTTCATATTATAAAAACTAAACCAAAACAATTGTAGGAGTGATTACTAGTACCGAACTCATCATCAATTTCATCCTACTTCCACCTCCTTTTCTAAACACAAAAAGCAAATAAACAAAAGTAAATGTACTGACTAGACTGACAAAGTAAATGTATTGGCGGCATATGAAAGAACGGCCAAATTAAAAGTACCCTTAACCGACTAGCATGCATGAAAAGATTGATGACTGTTGATGAATCGAAAGAGGTATGTAGGAATCGTAGCAATTGGAATTCCACAGTCTCTATGTACCCCCATGGGAGACAGGCGTGAAGTAATGTATGTAAAAGCTGTAAAGACTCACTCCATAACAATCCTGATGCACAGCGAGGTTGCACATGTCGCAGAACAGGATCACGTTTGTATTCTGACACTCTCCGTCCATGCAGATGCAGCAGACAGCATCTTCGTCCACTGTGGCTGCTGTTTGTTGACCATTCTGAGATGCCTGTAGGTTTTTAACAATTTAGATGTTGATTTACCTAATTGTCCTATTTTCGGCTTACGTAACTGTTTGACTGCCGCTCAGCAGCAGCGCGACAGTCGCCGCGTCACGTATCGCTGAATGCTACTCATGAATATGAGCCTCTAGTATGGCTTGAAACTAGTCGAGTTCCTCGTCAAACAGTTACGTGATTAAGCCGAAAACATCATAATTAATTTAGTATGTCTCACGAAATGAAACATTATAATATAAACGTTGATTAACCTGTTGAATGCTATACTTAATGGAAAATGCGTCTCACACATCTACATTCCAACAAAGGACTAATTTATGGGTAATTCTCTAAGTACAGTATAATAAATTTACTAGCACCAGGTCTAGGTCCCCTAACTGTTGTATAGAATAGACTATAGACCAATAGATGTATTTGTCAACAAGCCAGCTACACAAACTAAATAGTACATTATGCGAGGTTGCAGAATTGAGTTTATGATCCCTTAAATCTCTTTAGTGCTGTTGTGAATAAGAAAATAAAAATCATGAAATCATAAACTCCAAAAGAATCCAACTAAAAAAACCCCCCTATTTTTTGAAGCCATTTAATGAATACACTAAAACCTTCTCCTAAGTGTAAAAAAACACTTTTTTGAAAACCACAACAAAATCAGTTCAACCTGAGAGCCCCGTTTTTTTCTTTTTTAAGTCAAAGAATAAAAATTAGCTAATAAAAATAGCTTCAAAACTCACCTGAAAATAGGACTCCTTCTCCAATCTATCCATTAGCAGTTCCAATGTATCAACGGTGACTGCAGGCAGGTTCTGCTTGGCCCTCGTCTTATTGATAATGGAGAGCCATGCAGTGTCCTCCTCATCCACATCATATTCCACTTCTCCATCTAACTCCTCAGCTGATTTCTCGATGAAGCGAATGTAGGCATTTGGTCGTGGTGGAGCATCACATACTCTCTCATTGTAGTCATCGACAAGCTATTTCAATAAAATTCACATTTATATTTTTATACTTTCATTTTTTATTTCTATTTGATATTTTTATTTATTGAAATATCGAAAAACCTACAAGTAATGATTCTGGACCTTAAAAGCATAAGGTACAAAGGCCTTTTATTAATTTAGCTGTTAGCACTTACGTCTTAAGCCTTCTAATATGTAGAGTTACATCAGCCTTTCATCAGAACTCTCATAACATAAATATTCAAGTACAATTAAAATAATAACTTAATTATTTTTTTAAATGTTTTGATTTTGAAGTTAGCTGAAGTCCTATATGTAAGGTGTCCAGCTGATTTTCGCTTTATTCTTAGGCATACTAAGAGATGGAAATGAAAAACTAGCTATTAGAATTTTCATTTTTAATTAAAGATTTTCGAAGACCCAAACCTCTTCCACAACCTTTGCTACACTCTGACCAACAATATTCCATACAGAATTCACACCTGTAAACCACTCAGAGAACTCTACACTTGAATTTGTAATTTGCATTGTGTCACAAAAACAGAGAACAAAATTATAAAAAAACTTTCCAGCCTACCTTGAAGCTGGCTTCAGGTAACTTGACATGAGGTTCGACGGGGGGCTCCACAACTGGCAACGGCTTTTCCAATTCAGCATTCGTCTTCTGCCATTCTTCCAGAGACATTATAGGCAGAGGTTGGTCAATCGGGATTCTGCTGATTTTGCCATCTATCTCAAACTGAACCACTTTCTGAGCTTCTGCAAAAGTTAGAGCCTCTTTCGGCGGACTCTGAAGAGCGATGTCCCCTGTAGGCACGGCAGCTCTACCTCTTCCCTTCTTCCGATGATTAGCTACGGCAGGCGTCGCCGGGGTCGGATTATCGTGATCATAATGAACTAAATGATATTGTAACCCGCACAAACTCTTATATACTTTATCACACTTCTCCAAAGGACACTGATACGGCGGAGGCCGGTTTTGCCGCAGTTTTTTGCAAAATTCAAAGACATCAAAGTCCAAGCCCATTTTGTTAGTTTTTAAAACACTTTTCTTTATTAAAGTAATGTCATTGTATACATTGTTTTATAGAATATTCACTGATTTAACGTAGCACATACAGAATGAACATAATTATCAAAATAAATACGATTTTATAGCGCAGGAAAGTGAAAGGCGCAAAATTATTATTTTTTGTTTGACTTCGTGGTTTAGTTGTCAAATAGTGCTGTAGTAGTACCTTCTACTTAGGCAAGGGCAAACTAGCTACGTCCTTGTTTGCTTTAGTCGATTACTAAAAAAATGCGAAGTTATAGACCAAATTTGAAAGAAAGTATTATTTTTTACATTTAGAAGTTTTGAGAAGAAGAAGTCAAGCAAATTCCATTACAATAACCCAAAGTTCATGATGGTTTTATTGGTTTTTGGAGCAAATCGAATAATTTTTTATCTACAATGTTACTATTTGATACAAAAATTAATAGTCGATTGTAACATTGCCATTACAAAAAAGTGGATTGCAGAAATATAGAATTTTCAAGAACATTCCACTCTATGATTTAAAAAGTCAGCTGTCATTTGTGAATAGTTTGTTGTTGTGAGTGTTGACAAAAAAAAGGATAAACTTTTTCCTGTGTGAATTTGCATTATTTTCTCTGAGAGAGCGGATTTACAATCTTATGACAATGGATATATATGGATATGCTGGTTTTCCTTATAATCAGTCGGATGAACTAGCGAAACAAATGTATGCGCATCAGGCCCTGGCTTCGTCGATACCCTACAATAATCGGGCGTTAGCAGAGCCGCATACTATGCCTGCGCCCACAGGAACACCATGGAACGTCCAGGGTTTGCCCTGGGGAATGCCGTCACCTCCTCAGCTGGTCCAGTTTACCGGTCAGCCACAACTCATGGAACCAAAAATTAGTCCTGTAATCCACTGCAAGAGAAAAAGCTTGGACGTGGAACCAGTCATGTAAGTTTCTTATAGGAAAAAACCATATCTTCAACATATTCACTTACTAGAATTTGAAACTATCATAAAAATATCTTGAATGAAGGTACTTTTGTCTGTCATTAAACGCTTATTCAACAAAAAACTACTTTGAATGTATTAACCGCTTATATGCCCGTATATGATACACAATAGAAAATACATTGTGATCCGCGTGGATCCATGTTTAGACACTACGGGTTAATCACAAATGTAATAAGTCTATACATGTAGTTATATGGATAGGTATTAGGTGAAACACTACTTTAATCACTATAAATAAACAAAATCAATCAGTGAGTAGTCTTTCATCCCATTCACATTTATACATCAAGAGATAACTTGCAAATTCCACTTATAGCAAGTTTAGTAACAAACATATCTTGACTATTTCAGACCAGCAAAGCAACTAATAACTGAAGAGAAAATGGCCGCCCACCTGAACAGTCTCCACATATCATCAGAGTACACGACACATGCCCTCGCTACTCCACAAGATGTTATGGACATTGGTATGGAGCCCGTTAGTGAAAAACTCAAGGGTCACACAATAGTCTTGTCCGAAGAACTCAAGAAGTTACAGGAAGAACCTTTATTACCAGCTGCACTTATTGATAGGTGAGGATTTTTTGTGACTATAATAATATAGCAACAAAACTAAACTTATGAGCTGTCTCATGGTATAAGGTAGTCATAGTCTAATGTAACTAATCACAAAAGTATTGTATAAGTCTAGATGCTCTTTTAATGCAAAACATCATGTTTTTGCATATGTCGAGTTTTTGGCACTGATTTGTTTATAACTAGGAAAGTATTTGGTATGTTATCAAGACAAGAGTAGAAGTTTTCTTGCAAACAACGGACTATTCCATTCATAGTACATTGAGATTGGTCCAATCATTATTTTGTTTTGCAAAAATTGTGTTTGGTGTAGCCTTTGGGCATTATACCGGAAGTGATTATCTAATATCTGATAGAAGTGGCTGTTTATGATATTATCTGAGACTAATGTTTGTCATTATAAAATTATGAAGAAATTTAAAGTATGTTTTGTACAGTCAATATTTATATTCTACAAATTAGGAACATATATAACCTTTATAGCATTGGATTGGACCATTGCACATTACGAAATCTTTGTGATTTCTACTCACCTTGACTCCTTGTATTAGAGTCTATTTTAGTATGACAATGTATTCTATTGTTTTGCAATCCTGAAGGTCGTTGGTCCTATGTCATACTGCATATTTTTAAAATGCAAATAGTACTAACTTTGTTTGACATATGTTTTGAAAAGTATGGTTAATATTTTTAAATCAAAGCTCCAGTTTTCATATGGATTATAATTAATTTCTTTATTAGTTAAAACAAAGTAAACATTCAAACTATTGTTTCATTTGGAAACATTCCAGCTTTGTACAGTTGCATACTTTATATCTATCGTTAGGTCTAGATCTTTGTTTATTTAAAATAGTTACTCAAATATTTTACATAACATAACATCACGCCTTTTATCCCCGAAGGTAGAGGCAGCACTTAATGCCAGGCAGCAATTTATGTAATGAGTCCCATGTGATAGGCGGTGAGCCCATTGCCATATACATACCGGACACATTTCCAGACTTTGTGCTACTACTGAGATTAAAAAAAAACATTTTAGTTAAAATCATAAAGCAATAGAAATATTAGGCACAAATTATATTCTCTTAATATTAAACAAGAATACAAGAAACTATTAGTCCACTAAATAATTCCTCTTGCTCACTTAAATATCAACTTTCACTCCACCGAACCACCTATTTCCTAATACTTACATAACTTTCTTACAGATTGGAGAAACCACACATGTCTCTAGTAGTGTGGAAGCCCAGAGAGAGTATCCTAGCGAACATCCAAGAAGAGAAGAAAGAGGATGAGAAACATCCGCAGAAGAGGAACGGACTCCTTGTTACACCAAACCACCAATCGGACGATGTTGAGATGTGATATTGAAGCTAAGTTACTAAACTTGAACTTTGTACCTATATTAACATTATATGTAAGTCAGTCAGTTTTAAGGCTCTTTGTTGATTAGCAGCTGTATTCAAGTGACGGTCCTACGTACATGTGACATGGATAAATAGAAATGTGACTTAATTGTGTGATGATATGGTTCATATTTCTTTGATTATATACAGAAAGCTTGAGACAATGCTTGTTGTTGAATTTAGAACTTTGTTAACGCAATTTTCAACTGTAATTATATTTGCAACAAAGTATCGCTTACCATGTTTTACCGTATTATGTGCATAGGGTCTAGTTTTGAATGTTTTTCGGAGCTGTTTTAATAAATAATTATCAGTAATCTAAATTAAACTGTTTAATAAGTGTCACATTATGTCTTATGTAATTCGAAGTTTGATGTATGTCCGGTTTATGATGTAGAATTGTGCACAAATAAAAAATAACCCAGTTGATAATCATACATCATAATAACATTAACCATTATGAAAAGGGTTATTATGTTTTCGGCTTACTCACGTAATCATCACGCGCTGGGCCCGCAGACTCGAGTAGCCAGTAGCAGCGCGACAGTCGCCGCGTCGCGGGTCGCGAAATGCTGCTCATGAATATGAGCCTCTAGCATGGCTTGAAACTAGTCGAGTTCCTCGTCAAATAATTATGTGAGTAAGCCGAAAACATAATAATTTATAGTGAAAAGAGATCCAACGTATATGATAGAGAAAGGAATATTGAACATCTCTTTTGTTTCATTTTTTTTTTACTTGTGTTCTTACTACTTAACCCGTCGTGTGTGGATGTGGATCCACGCGAGACACAATGTATTTTCTATTGCATACCGGTGCATTCAAGCGTTTGAACACCATTACTAACATCTAACATATTTGACTTAAATCATTTCGAGGTTGTAATTCAGCAAGTAATATTTTTGGCTTTGTAAATGCGACTATCTGTGTTAAATTAATCAGGATTGTCTCTCCCATAACATGGTATAGTAAAAAAGTGTCTGTAAATAATAACAACCTCCTTTTGCAAGACGAAATAATTAAAATCAATCAAAATCTTTTTAATTAAGTTTTAAGGGACAATAACTTAATTTTTTTGCATCTATATAACTTTAATATACCCTGCTTCATTCAATCTTTTTCATTTATTTTCAACCTTTGCGAGAGAAAAACCATAAACTTAACTACTAACGTATAGTGTTGAATAAATTATTGTAATTGAGATTCAAAATATATTTTACAAGCTTTCCTTTGTTTATAAAGCACCTGTAAAAAAACGCACGTACTTTTGGGATTTATGTTATTAGGTAATATTGTATGATAGAAAAAGGTTGAATATCAATACTTTTTTGAATACATGGTTGTAATATTTTGTTGAAACTTACATACAGGACGACTTATCTCGTATACATAACAACATCACGCCTTTTATCCCCGAAAGAGTAGGCAGAGGTACACATTATGCCACTATACAATGTAACACCAACTTTTCACTATTTATGTTATGAGTCCCATGTAATAAGGGGGTGAGCCTATTGCCATATACCGGGCACAATTTCAGATTCCGTGCTACTATTGAGATTTTTTTAAAACCCTGTAATACTTTGCCCGATCCGGGAATCGAACCCGAGACCACTTGTCGCAGTCGCACTTGCGACCACTCGGCGAACGAGGCAGTCAATAGTCATCTCGTAAACAGTGTAGCTTTTTACAGTCCTATAAAATGGTACCTTAAAAGGCTAATTGTACCATTTCTTGTTATTTTTGTCACGTTTTATTGATTAAGTACATATTATTATTATGTGTATCCTTTTTTGTACACTAGATGTCGCTAATGTAACGTGAGGTTCTGATTTTTTTTAAATGGCCTTAGCTAGGGTCGAATGATTGGACATTCAGTTTTAGACAGCTATAATGACTGGAAAAATAGATTCACGTTACTTAATGCCAGGCAAGCAAAAAAGGTAATCTTCATCTTAAAGAGGAAAAGTCTATCAAACAGACGTAATTGTCAGTCTATCGTAGGTAGATAAAATATTATTTTGAAGTTGTTAATTTCTGAACTCGTAAATTAATTCTGAATGGCTGTAGATAAGTTGTCTTTTTGTGGTGGCCTTAATTCATATTCCAACCTAGCAGAATGGTATTGATATTTAACACAATTTTACTGGGAAGCTTGAAGATGTAGGTTATGCTCGAATTGTGTAAAGTTGGTCGATTTTGTACTGTTTGTCTGTAGAAATAAATGTAAGGACATAACGTATAATTATGTTTTTTATTCATACCCCAATGTTCCATGTTCTAACTCCAATTCAACATAATGTTCCCCCTGTGGAAGTCCTCGTATAGATTATATTCAACTATCGTGACGTGAAACATCAAATTGAATATCTCGTAAGGCTATTGTATACGTATCGTTCGAGTCAACTGCTCATGAATATGGGTCCTTAGCTTGGGTTGAAATCAGTCGAGTACCTTCGTCGAACAATTTTGTAAGTTAGCCGTACATAATTAATTACGCCTTGTATATCGTTTAATTTTAGAACTTTTACTCTTCAAGAATAAAAGCAATAATTGCAAAGTTATAACTAAAACAACAGTTTAACGTAATTATTTTATTATTTATTCATTTCTTAAAAATACTAAAATTAACAAATTCACATCGTGTCTCCTGCATACCGGTTCAACAGCTCAAAATTACATTTACATATAATAATCCGCCATCCGGTCCATAAATTACATGATCTCATACAGATAGCAAATATTTTATTTCCTCTAGTTTTCTTTCCTTACAGTCTTTCTAATTGTACATCACATAGAAAATTCTGGAAGACTCTTTGGTGGAACTATAAAAACACCATTTTTAATATAACATTCCATCTTCGTATAATCTAGTGAAACTCATCAAAATATCTTATTTGAGAAATAAACCTGAATATCAGTTACAATCAGCACCACAATAAAATCTATAAAATAAAATAAAACAAAAGTACATAAATTTTAGAACCTTATACCTTTGAGATAAGGTTAAAATTATAACAATATCATTGTACTTTTGATATTTTAAATACTCCCGAATAGATTATTTATAAATAAGTTTAACTTTTCTTATTCATTAGTCGTATTTACAGATTTAAACACTATAATTACTATGTCTGTTTAGTACAGACTTGTATTGTGTTTGTGTGTAAATTAATATCATTGTTTTGAGATTTTACAATACTATGATAATAATGTCTTTTTAAGGAAGATACCACGTACTATGTTCGTGCCACATAGCAGTTGATCAACAATTAGCACTTACAAAGATTTGTAATTTATGTGGGCAGATATCTTACGTCACAAAACACACTGCTTGAAGTGCTAATAATTATTACACATGCACAAGATTGAGAAAACTTATTAATAAATCGATTTCAGATAATATCCAATCAAATAAATAATAGATTCACCTTAATGACCTACATAAATAATTTCGATTTCGTACTTAACAAGTCTTAAAAATATCTATCGGAATTTAATTCGATTACTTTAAATAAATGAGTCGTTGTTTCTAATCGATATCTCCGTCCTCCGCGCGTCAACTCCATTAAAAAATCATAAAATTCACAAGGACATAAATATCACAGGAAACTATTATAAACAAAAGACAGAGACTTTAAATGTCTATGGCAAATTTGGCCGCCATTATCGGAACCCGCCAAAACATGGCCGACCTTTAAAAAGGCGAGATGATATATTCCTCCAGTATTCACTAAATAGGGCTAAAATATCACCTCACATAGTCTTCAATCAACCATTGTCTCCGTAATTATTAAAATGTCACATTTCCCGCTGTGTTACAACGATTTTTCGTATTTTCAAAACATGTTAACTTTAACGGTAGCTGTGTCGAGGTCCCTCTTCATGCTCTCCAGCTGTTCGATGTCTTGGCCCGAAGTCTCACATTTTTGCACCACCAAAGAATGATAGAAGTGAATTGCGAACGCCACGAAGACGATTAATACTGTAAAAGATAAATAAGTATTATATAAATAAATCATCCAAATTATGGGCAGGATAATTCCAAAGAAAGAAAAAAAGAAGGATAGAATGTCCAAGATAACACAATTATGTATTATGTACAGGAAGTTGAAAAGGTAAGTATGAAGTTCATTAAAGTAATATGAGGATATTCTTAGAAATCCCAAAAATAAACTGATAGTTAATTGGTTGCCAGGCAAGTTAGTAAGTAGGTACTCATCATAAACCCACTTACCGAGTTATTCATTCAAGATTTATGTTAGTACAGTGCGGCCAAGTAAATAGAAAGTTTTGTTAGACATAAAGGTAACGAGTTGTTTAGAGAGCCCTTTACCTAAGAACGTACGAGCGCCTTCACACTAGCGTTTGTCCAGCGGAGGCATTTGATAAACGTATGCGCCGCGCAGACGCCGCGTATTCATTTCCCTTGTACTTAACTGATGTAGCGATAAGGTGACGCCTGGCCGCCGCATACATTTATCGAACGTCTACGCTGAACAAATGCTAGAGTAAAGCCGCTCTAAAACTCAAATGCAAACTCGAGTTTGATTAAATATTGAAAGACTGTATTTCAAGTGGGTAGGTATTTTGACGCCTTTAACTTGACACAAAAGCACAAAGAAAACAATCTTTTTAAACGTAAGAATCTTTTTCAAAGAACATGAAAAAGCAAATAAAATTAGTCCAGCATATAACAGAATTTTAATCCACAATTAAGTACCTGCTAAGCTATCCTCTGTAGGTAACTTTCAATTCGAAAGACCGAAATGAACTCGATTGCGGCCCGACATGTCACTGGTCAGAATAATCTCGACCAATGACGGGCCAGAATGCGATCGAGCTCATTTCAAAAGTTTAAATTGACAGTTACAGAATAACCTAGCAGATTACGATTAGAGACAGCGACAGATGGAAAGAGAAGAGGCACTCACAGAATAATCAGTGGTATCACTGTACCTGGTATAACGATGACCGTGGCTGCTGTGGCGGCTGCGAACGAGTAGTCCCAGAACTTCACCCAGCAGAGTATCGCTATCTCCACCAGGAATAGGAAGAGACCTGGAAAAGAAAGAGAAACAATGAGGCAATGGAACTGGAGATGTCATAATGGTCATATCATGATTTGTATTGTCGTTAACTTTTATGTAATATCTTAACTAGCATGTCTCAACGACAAATCAGCCTGTTTAGTTAGGCTATTTTAATGTGAACCTTGAATTCGAATTATTTTCCTGAATTCATCTTCTCTGAGGTGGATATTTAAACACGAAAGACCTCTTGATTCAAGTTTCTTTTGAGTAAAATCGGTTGCTTCAAGAAGCCTTTAGATTTCAATCCAGTGATAAAGAAACTTAACTTAAGATACCTTACCTAAAACAGTACTAAAAGCCCAGGCAAGTTCGATGAAGCCCCTCATTCTTTCATGCGGGGAGTCTCTAAGGGCACTCGCGGGCGCTCTGGGCGTCTCCATCTTACTCACTGCATCGATATTGGGCAGCAAGTACGTGGATATCATGAGAGCGAAGATGTGCACAGCTACGAGCACAGTCGTGCAGACTGCGAACATTACGAACAACCATTCTGGGACGTTCGTTGGTTCGTTTATCTGGAGTTCCACCATGGCTACCATCGCAAAACCTGGAAGAAGAAAAGTAATTTGTGAGGTTTGTTTAATAATCGTCCTAAAATGGATACAATCTCATTGGCGTAATTTAGTATTATTATTATTTTTTTAAGGGGGGAAAATCATTGAATGACTGCTCCCGCCTAGGTGAGGCGGAAGGGAGTGGCAGACTCTTACTGACTAAAAACTACCCCGTTCCTTCTCCTGCACGTCGAGCCGGAGCCCCGGTTACCCGTTAGGTTCTCCGCGACGCGTAATTTAGTATAAGCACTTGGTGGATTGGTTGGTTTATGAATTAATTTAGATTTATAGGCTTTAATTTTTACCTGATAGCAGTTCGGATGTGGTGGCGGTGGCTTTCAATTTGGCACGGGACATGTGCAACCTTCGCCATGAGAGACCTTCGGAACCCTGCGGCAGCTCCTCGTTCCAGCCCGGAGACACCGGCATTGTGAGAGCCACTTCACTTACACTCTGGAAAATTGTGATTAGATTTTAGCATTTTAACGCAACTTAAGTCACCAGTTTCTGACTAATCAAGGCAAGACGTGAGTTTCTGTATGTTTGTTGAGTCCACAGATATATCTATGGTTTGGTCTGACAATAAGACTTGCTATCGGTCATATTTAATGCGTAACGCGCAACAACTGGAAGAACTTTACTATCTATACTTAAGACTAACAGAAATGTTGATCACCAAGGGTCGCATTCTTATTAGAGCAAAGTGTGATTGGTTATCAATCATTAACTGACTATGATATTATGAACATTAACGGTTCCTGGTAAAAAATAATGTTTCAGTCGTTAAATTAGATTTACTAAATCATTTGGTCGCCCCAAATGGTTTAGTAAGTAGATAATTTGACTTACTTTAATAGACTGGTTACATTGACAATGACCCTGCAAGTACCCGGGGCTCAGCAGCACTGTAGCGGCGGACTTGTTGGACACCATGCCGTTAGGGGTGACACTGCCGTTCGGACTCGTCCCGCCCTTCGTACACACGTATTCTAAACTATGCGGCGGCGTCACAGATATCGTAGGGCTGTCCGTTACGCTTACCTTAAACCTGGAGATGAAAAAAATATAATTTGGGGGCTTAGAATGGAAGGGGTTTTGTCTATGTTTTGTTTGATAAGTTAGAATTGTTTAGAGTCGTTGTTAAGTGTTGTTATTGTAAGGAGTTGTAGGTTTGTATACTTATTATTTTTAGGATAGATAAACTGAGATGGTTTTCCTGCCGTATGAAACCACAATACAAAATTAGTAATACACATATAAGCTTCGTTTTAGTTACATAAAAATAGAAGAAAAGACTTGCTTAATAGTAAAACAAAATGGTTTCTGTCTGTATGACTATAGGTAGGTAATTCTACCTATAGGTAACTGTGAAGTCTGTCTGTTCAGTACTTTCAGTTCAATGTTAATGTAGGCCCATATTGATTTGTATACCTCACTCACATAGGAGACCTAAGATTTTCGGTGAATCTATTTGCTTACAGTCTTGTAGGCACTAACTCTTTCTATTTTCTCTAATTATACTAGTGTTCTATTAACTCGTCGAGTACCGTATTTATAGACACAATTAAAGAACAATAGGTCGCGGTCACCGGTGACCTCGTGGTGTTCGACAGTTTAATAAGTAAATTATTTTTCTTAGATCAAAATAAAGTTTTCCTATTCATCTATGCAGTGTAGGTAAGTACGTACTTACTAAGATTTACACATACTTCAACACTTAACACTGTTTTTGTGCGTCTTGTACTTATCGCGATAACTTCGCAAAGATTACCATAATGACGTCACAACAAGTAATTTTGCTGTAATAATGTTCCAAATTACATTTTTGGTAAACATTTGCGAATGTTTTTTTGTAAATTTTTTGCATGGTTAAACGCCAGGTAGAATATTTTTGTAACCGCGTACAGTTTCTTCTTTTGATCATTTGGCAAATGCTTTTAAAGGCTGAGTTGAATAGGTACTTAGGTAGCTGATTCATAGGAACATATGTATAACAACATTTTCTATACTCAACAACAAATCATAACTTCATAAAGACACGTTAGACAAAGATAGGCTATAGGAAGCTCTCGGCTGGGAGCTGCGTCCAAAAGTAATAGGATCGACGAAGCAGCTCCCGAATCCTAACAAAAAGTACCCACTTGACAAATACGAAACAAAAACTCTATTGAGAAACCACAAACTGTTGACGAACATCACATTAAGCGCAGACTATAATACTAGAACAAGATTCTTCTAAAGAGTTAGTCACATAAGCTTTAAACTGTGTGAGTCTTACTTTGGGTAATCGTAACTCGGCGGCTTCGCTATGAACGGGTAAGACTCAGTGAGACCTAGGCTCTTGGGCCGGGTTTCGTGCTTGAGCCGGTAATTTCTGTGTGATCTCTCGAAGATGTGGTCGCATGTGTGGTACCTTTGCAGCGTGCGTGGGCGCGCCTTGCCGCAGGGCGGCGTCTGCGTGCATTGGTCCACGCGGCTCGCTTCCTCGACGCTCGTTACGAAGCTAGCCTCTGATACCTGGAATCAAGGATTTCAAATTTTATTATTTAAATCAATTAAGACATGTTCCTCTATCATCTCTCTATAACATGTGATAAGTGTGATATGATAACAGTTAAAAGGCATCCTAATTTTGCTTTGCTAAAAATAGTGAAATCACAGCATAGGTTAATATTCTTAAAAGTTTACGTTTTGTCATAGAGGTCTGCCTCTACCCAATAAAGACTAAAATACAGACCAGTGGCACAGGTTTTCTTAGAAATAAACAACGGTACCGGTACCTAAAAGTGCTGTTATTCTATTTCCTACCCCTGGTAGAGGACATGACTCTCGAATTTCGGTTATTCACCCGCCAAATAGAATATCATCCAAATAATTTGCACAAACGCGTCAAAAAGATAAAATTGAATGATAAATATTCATAATGTTCATTTACGCAGTGATGTGATGAGTTAAACCGAAGTTAAATGGTTACAAACGTGTCGTTAACGCGCCGTGCCATCGTACTGTGGGAACTGGCGGTAGAAAACTATAATTTCGCTGATTGCAGCAGCTTAGCCAACGATTATCGGATGACATTGACTTTGGATGTACGTCAATAGACTAGGCATTGTAGGTTTTTTGATGGACACGTGGCGTAAGTACTAGGGAGATGTGCTTTGTCTACTGTTTTGATGTGGAAGTTCATGGGCCTTTTTATTGAATAGGGGTACAATACAACAAGCAGACCTGATGCTAAAAGGTTGAGTCGCCGGTCACATGACACTATACAATTTTGAAGTGGTTTCACGACGGTTTTTTATTACGTCGGCCGGTTTGGCCCATGTGTGATGATGACTGAAGCATGGCTCTCACGTGAAAACAACTTATATACGATTTTCTTTAAAATTATATTTATAGAGTAGCGATATTTGCAGTTCTTAAATACTCAATGTAAATATTTTGGGCGTGAATGAAAAGCTAGTCACAACATCATACAACTGCAAATATTATTGTCATAATTTTAAAAACAATACCTTAAAGACAAATAAAATACTTGAGCTACATTTTTTATCTTTAATGTGCAAATATATAGTAAAATCATAATAATGTAGCCCACGTAAGTGTAATAACAAGTCTGTCATACACCAACGTTTGTCTGTTTGGTGAGTTCATTGGAACTCAAAAACTACTGAGCGAATTTTTATAACATTTTCAAGAAGGTTTTCTTGAGCAATATAATAGAAAGTATCTAAACATTCCAGTGACATTCTATTGTGTAATAGTTCTAGCTTGGCAAAAGAATAAAGTACCCTAAAAGTTATTATTTGAATAAAATTGATTCTTATCAGTCAATATCAACATTGTTGACATTATAGACATAAAAACAGGTAATTAGGTATGTCCCCAACATAAATAATTTTACCTCACGACTGACACACATTGGTGATTCATACATTCCGCCATAATGTACGAGTGTGTATGAAATTAACTTCTAATTATTATTTCTTCATCAGATAACGGAGCTGCACGAATGTTGCACATTACTAATGCCGTACAAAAGGGGGCAATTATTATGCGCGTGCACAAGGTATGGAGGCACGGATTGATAGAATACCTATGTATGTACTAAATAACAGATGGTTACAATTGTGCATTATCCTTATTAATATTATAAATCTGAAAGTGAGTTTGTTTGTTTGTTCCACCTTCACGCCGTAACTACTAAACCGATTGCTTTGAATTTTTGCAGACGTAAAGTTAGAAGTCTGGATTAAATAATAGGGTACTTTTTATTCCGGAAAAATTTGATATTCCCGAGGGAAAACCAAAGTATTGGTATAGATGGCGCTGTGTGTATTGGTATATGTCACATTGGCTTTTTATCCTTTTGTGACGCGAGCGAAGCCGCGGGTAAAAGCTAGTAGGTAATAAAAGAAAGAAATGTAGGTGTAGGTACATCAGAAATGCATGAAAGAAAGTGTTTGTTTTTTTTGCATATACCTACTTATGTACATATGTTATGTGTATATTCATCCCAAGTGGCAGTACTGTTTCTTGAGAAATTCAGTAAAGTGACACTACAACTTCTCGTTTTCAAATAGCTACTCTTTAATTCGTGTTGAATGAAAAGCTATATGGAAATCCGTTCACCCATTTCGGAGATCTGCGCTAACAAACGAGATTGAAAAAAATAATAAAACAATTTACAAAAGTGTCATGAGACGTCTACTTTTGATGTAAATCCGAGGATACTTCAGCGCTACATGTTTCTGCATAATATGATCTAGGTTATTACTTTATGGCCTACCTAGGTCCTTTGTCAGTAAAACATTTATGACTTTTTACAATCGTTAAGTATTAGATACATGTTATAACAGGAAAATAATGAGTTAGTCGGTCGTTGTGATAAATATCTAGACATTATCGGTTGGATATTGAGACAGAGACTAGGTCCTAGGGGATAATGTAAGATCCATCTTTTACTCGATACGTTCAGTGCACCCATCACATTTAATAGGGAGTGAACTTGCCATACATCGTTTTTTTTAAACGTTGCTCCACACTATGATTTTCTCATATGTCATTTACTAACATACATGTTCACATACACATGTCACCCAGACCCGGAAAGTCTGTGGATCACATAAAGTGTTGCTCCGTGCGGAAATCGAAACCGCGACACGTTGCGCGGCAGCCGGTTGCCCAGCCACCGCACCAACCGTTCCACCATCTGGTTCAACTGTTGCCATACATCTAGTGCCAAATACATATATACTATGCCACCTATGGTAAAGTTCGTAAGATTTTAGACACAAGATTTAAAAAACATTCCCAAATTAAGAAGTAAGTCCAGTGACCTTTTATTCGACAGAGCTCATATAAAGGTCTAGGATATTCTGTAACAGTCAATTCGAACAGATTATTTTCACAACCAATGACATAGCGGACCGCGATGGAGCTTACTTCGATCTTTCAAATTGATAGTTACAGAATGGATAATAATAGATAGGCTGTAGACCAAATGAATAAGCCTCTATTAAAATTAAAATGTACCTACCTAGACCTAAACCTACTACATTGTACCTAACACTTAGGTACTATGTATGTCAAACAATATACCTACGACAGACATAATGTTTGTAATGAACCTACAATCGAAAACATGTGTTGGGTGTCACATAAGTTAGCAATTAACATGTGCTGCGGCTGCGCCTGCGCCGCGCCGGTCGCATAATGGTGCTGAATCTATGTAGATAATTATTTCAGTGACGAGACTAAAGTGCGCAAGATTGTGTTTGTGTTGAATTTACTCATCACTTCTATGTAAATCGTTGTTTTTTGCAAATTATTTTAAGTGTGTAGTATAGCGTTAGTCATACAGAAGTTAAAAAATATTGAGATGTTGAAAGATGAAAAGCTTGTGATTTGATTTTGTGTTGGTCTTAAATAAATACTGTCACCGGGCGAGATGATTATTATTGTCAAAAAATCGAAAGAAATTGTAATATTTGCCCGACCGAGGTTTCCAAATCGATGCCCCTTAATTACTTGGTAGTCGCACTAGCATTCACTCGACAGACGAAACAGTCAATGATTTTACAAATGAAAAAAAAAGCAGATTGTCCACGAATCTTAGAGAGTATTATAGGTAATACGTAATTAAGTAGGGCAGAATGAGTGGGTAAACGATTTTTGACGATCTTTTTCAATGGAAACAGTGAATCCTGAGTTGCCATAAAAATCTAAAACGAATATTAGTAGTACTATACTAGAATATCGGCCAAATGCCCCCTTATTTGGGTAGAAAAAAAACCACTCATTCATGAGCAGAATAAAAAGACTTAAAATAAAAAAGTTAAATTTAACTTTTTTTAGGAATAACAAAAATGTTAAGCCATTGCTATAGGGCCAAGGTATTTTATTATCATATAAAAAGAGTACTTACCATAATGTAATACTTACATTGTACGTAACTCATTTTTTTAATTACATAGCATTTTTAATTTTCACAAAAAATAACAAGAATGTACAGAAAAGCAAGTACCAGTGTACTTAAATGTCAGTTCACGAGTACTCTGAATGTGCGAACATTAATCGTGTATTTGCACTCAACATGGTTTTTCCTAACCACGCTTGACGCTACGCTCATTGTTTTTTTTTTGCCAAGCTTTATTTGAAAGCTACTAGAGGCCCTCGTGCCGTTGTGGTTGCGGCTAATAAGTAAACTTGTTACGTTCATTTATGTGTTAAACAGGTGATACCTATATCACGTGTTATTATGTAAATGATGATGATCATAAATAAACAAACGTGTACTTTGTTTATTTAGACAATATGTTGGCCTAAACAACCATGTTTTCAGCCAATTAATTTTTTTAATGTGGCTTTTATTTACCTTTTATTAACTTTTTTAAGTCGCATAAAACAATTTTATTATTAAATTGAACCGTAAAATACTTCGAACACATAAATGAAACGCATATTATTTTAAAAAAATTGCCGCCCTATTTTCAAATTTTTCACGTTGGCAGTGTTCCCTTACACTTTTTATTTATTTTTAATATTCGAGTACCTAACTAACACAGAAGATACGGCAAATGTCCTAGAAGTAAGGGAAGTAAGTACGTATTTTGAAGAATATCATAGAACATTAGACGTCCAATTAACATTTTATTAACCTAGATAATGTTACTACTTCCTTACATACATAACAAAGGCATAGAGTAAATATTACATTTTATCTCATAGTTGTAAAGTTATTTGTCTGTGTAAATTATAACAATGTTGTTTATCAAACATTTAGTTTACCTCGTTATCTGAATAAATCTGTCTGTCTGGTAGTTCCGAAGTTAGTCGGACGAGCAAATATTATTTAATCGTTGTATAAACAATAATCTCGCGAAGAAACACATGTATGTTTGTTTGGTAACTGACTGAGTGTCGTCGAATTTGTTTAATTTACGTATTTTTATTTATTTGGGTTTTTTCTAACGTTTTTTACTTTTTTATCATATCGACTTTTGTATCTATGGTAT